ATATTTGAGGCAAGACAGCTTCCAAACTACCATCTGTTTTGGGGTCTGCTGGCTGGTGGGGAAAACCACCTTGATTGGCAGTTGAGTGCCTTCAAGTTTCAGTTCTTCCTTAGCTTAAGACCTGGGGGCCACTCAGGCACTGACGGCTGGTGGTTGTATTAGAGAAGTGAAATGTTACCAAACCAAGATGTCCTTCCTAGAAGGAGCAGGTTGGGTGGAGGTGTTGGTCAGAGACAGGAAATGGCTTGGCCAACAAGAAGTAAAAATTTCCTCCAGTCAAAGGACCCAGGAACAGAGTGAGAGGAGAAAATGAAATCCTAATTAAACCTCCAGTGTGTTGTCTCCCCTCCACCTCCATGCTTTTGTCAGAAACCGCTGCTTCATCTGAAAGAAGCCGTGACCACACACACTGATAATGAGACACAGACAACCAACTCTACTTTGCCAGGAATTACTTCTCTTGGATGAATCTCCCACTTTCCCTGGCTTCCCCTGACTCCTGCTTGGGGGTGTGTGGGATTCATCCAAGAGAAGTAATTCCTGGCAAAGTACAGATGCACGTCTGAACTTCAACATGAAGAGGAAAATTAAAAAACTAAATCTGTTGCTGTCGAATTGATTCCATCTCATAGCAACCCTATAAGACAGAGCAGAACTGCCCCACAGGGTTTCCAAGGAGCAGCTGGTGGGTTTGAACTGCTGACCTTTTGGTTAGCAGCCAAGCTCTTAACCACTGCGCCCCCAGGGCACCATGAAGAAGGAGGACCTATAAAATAACCCTCTTCAGCTGAGCCAGGAGCTAAAACAGCTAATACGGCTCTCAAACTACCCGAAACTGCTCAGTGGACATTTGCCAGGTGATGGGCCCCAAACCAGAGATGTGTGGCGCATTTAGCTCCTCACCAGGCTTGTCTGTGGGCCACAGACCTGCCATTAAAGTACTCTGTAAAAGGAATCCAACTTCTTGTCTGGGAAATTTCTGAAATATACATAAGCTCTGCCTTTTCAAGGTTTAGATTCATAAAAAGTGCTTAAATATCTTAAGAAATGTGAACTATTGGGCACATTGACCCTTGGATTTTCTGCTTCAACTGTGCTGGGACAATGGTGATAAGTCTACTCACCTTCTTAGTCCTAAAGAAAAAGCACAACCAGATTTGTATGTTTATTATGGAAAGTAACCAGTTGTGGAATGTGGAATCCTATTTTCAAAACCAGGCTAATGCAAAGGCCCTAAGCAGAGTGCCTTTTGTATTTAAGGAACAGCAAGGACATAAGAGCGTGGGCAGCGGTGGTTCAGTGGTAGAATTCTCGCCTTCCAAGCAGGAGACCGGAGTTCATTCCCAGCTGGCGTACCTCACGCACAACCACCACCTATCTGTCTGTGGAGGCTTATGTGTTGCTATGATGCTAACAGATTTCAGTGGAGCTTCCAGACTAAGATGGACTAGGAAAAAAGACCTGGCAATCTGCTTCTGAAAATCAGCCAATGAAGACCATGAAGATCACAATGATCCAATCCACAACTGATCGTGGCAATGGCACAGGACCAGGCAGCATTTCATTTTGTTTCACATGGGTCCCTACGAGTCATGCGCTGATGTAGTGGCAGCTAACAACAGCAAGGACATAAGAAATAGTGCAAATACCAGAAGCTCCTGCTCTGTCATATCCACATTTCTGGGAAGACTCTGCTGGGTGCTTCCTCTTGCATACACTTAATCTCCTGTTAAAGAGCCAGAGGTATGAGTAGGAAATTGCATCTAAAATTAGACACAGCGGGGAGCAGGGGGTGGCCCTATGGGTGCTCTTGCTGATGGCTACCTCTACAACAGAAAAGGGAGCAGGGTGGAGCTTGGTTCCTACCTCCAGCTATATAGGTCTCTCTTAGATCTTTCTTCTCAAGACTCAACTGGAGCCACAAACAGAAAGTAAGCCCTACTCTGTCAGTTCTACTCAACGTAATAAAGTATACACTTGCTTTGGCTTTTCCATTAGGATTGCTAAGGAATGTTGGCATACTGACATTGTTCCAACACTGTCATATTATTTTTAAATTTGATTTTTTTTATAAAAATATATTCGCATGGTTCAAAAATTAAAATGAAATAAAAAAGCATGCATTGAGAAGTCTTGATTCCACCTCTGACCCTGTGTACCCCATTCCACCACCTATATGTAATGACTTCTGTTAGTTTCTCGAATATCTTCTCAGTGCTTTTTTATGCAAATACTAATTTATTCTTTCATTCAGTAACTATTTACTGAGCATCTACTGCTTCTAGACTACCACTGTATATTTAGACACTGTTTTAGGCATTTGAGGTACATCAGTGAATAAAATAGCAAAAATCCTTACTCTCATGGAGCTTACAATCTAGAACATGTAGACAGACAATAAGCAATAAACATAAGAAATAAGAAAACAATGGATTAAGGAGAATGGTATTGTGGAGGTTTGAAGGAGGCAGGCTGCAATATTAAATAAGGTAGTGGTCAGGATAGACCTCATTGAAAATGTGTCATTTTGAGCAAAATTTGAAGAAGGTGAGGGAGGTAGCTGTGTGGGTATGTGAGGGGAGAGCCAATAGAAAGGCCCTAAGCAGACCATGCCTGTCAAGTTTAAGTGACAGCAAGGACACATAGTGGCTACAACAATGGGCTCAAACATAGCAACAATTGTGAAGATGGAGCAGGACCAGGCAGTGTTTTGTTCTTTTGTGCATAAGGTCACTATGAATCGAAACTGACTTGACAGCACCTAAAAACAATAACAATAAAGGACTCAAGTGTAGCTGAAGAAGAGTGAGAGAGAGGAGAATAGTAGATGAAGTCAAAGAAGGAGGCGGGAAAGAGGACAGATAATATAGGGCCTTACAGGCCATTATAAGGACTGTAAAGTTTACTCTGAGTGTGATGGGGAGCCATCCCGGGATTCTGAGAAAAGAAGTGACATTATCTGACTTATATTTTAACAGACTCTCCCTGGCTCTTGTGTTGAGAATAGACTGTAAAGGAAGAAAAGGTACAAGAAGGAAGAAGCTGGTTTGGAGGCTATTTCAATCATCTAAGCATGCGGAGATGGTGGCTCAAACAAGGTTGGGAGCAATGAGAGTAGTAAGAGGACAGGTGCTTGGTATATTTTAAAGGAGGCACTAATGGATTGGCTATTGGGTATAGGAAAAAGAGACGACTCAGTGATGACTCCAAGACTGCTGACCTGAGCAATTGGGAAAATGGAATTGCCACCAGCTAAGATAGAGAGGATTGTAGATGAGGTAAATCAGGGAGGAAAGATTAGGAATTTAATTATGTACAAGTTAAGTTTGAAATGCATTTTAAAGGTCCTAGTAGAGATGCCAAGTGGGTGGTTGTTGTTGTTAGTTGCCATTGAGTTGATTGGACTCTGCAAACATTGTGACACTATGTGTGCAGAGTAGAACTGCTCCATAGGGATTTCAAGGCTGTGACTTTTTGGGAGCAGATTGTCTGGCTTTACCTCTCAGGTGCCTCTGGATGGGTTTGAACCACCAACCTTTCTGCTAGGAGTCGAGCACCTAACCGTTTGAAGCCATCCAGGGATTCTGGCAAGTGGGTATTTAGCCATGAGACTAGATGATATTACCAAGGGAGTGAAAAGAAGAGGTGGACCAAAGGCTGAGCCCTGGGACCCTCTGATGTTAAGAGCTGGGGTGGGGAGGGAAAAAGAGAACCAGCAAAGAAGCCCTAGAGGGAACTACGAGGAAAAGTAAGACAGAGTGGTATCCCAATGCCTTGTGAATGAAGTTTTCCAAGCAGGAGGAAGTGACAAATTGTGTCAAATGCTATTGGTAGCACAAGTAAAATTAGGACTGAGAACTAACCATTGGATTTAGCTACAGGGAGGTCACTGGTGTTTGACAAGATCAATTTCACTGGAGTGGTAGAGGTAAAAGCCTGATAAGTGGGTTTAAGAAGGAATTTGAAAGAAATAACAAATGGTGAGCTTAGATATTTTTTTCTGGGAGTTTTGCTACAAAAACGGAGCAAAGAACAAGACAATAGCTCACGGAGAAAGTGAGCTCAAGGGAAGGATTTTTATGATATGAGAGAAACAATGGCATACTTGTGTACTGTTGTGAATATCCAGGAAAGAGGGGAAAGTGATGATATAGGAAAAAGAAGGGAGACTTTCTAGAGCAATGACCTTGAGTAGGCTTGTGGGCATGCCCACCCCTTTATTATCTTTATTATATCTTTTTTAAAGATAAAACATAGCATTTTATATGCACTGTTCTGCACCTTGCATTTTTCACTTAACAGTCTTTGGTGCTTTCATATCAGTACAGGAAGAATTTCCTTTTTCTTTTTTTTACAGCTGCATGCTACCCCATTACAGGGATGTGCCACGGTTTAGTAACTAGACCTTTAAAGGTGGACACTTGTGCTGTTTCTAGTCTTTTGCTGCCATAAACAAAGCTTCTCTGAGTAACTTTGAATAGGCCTTATTTCATAGGCTCATCTGTGACTCTTTTCTGGATTTCCTACCCTTTTTTATTAACTATCTATTCAAATTAATTTTGCCCCATAGCACCAGGAATGTACTTTAACAGGTAAATATAATAGTTCATCACTTATTTCTGATATTTGTGTTAGACCAAAATAATTGTGCAGATACATAAAGGGACTTATTGAGATCAGATGTCATGAAGGGCCAATGATAACACTTGACTCTGGGTTTTCACTTATGGTCATGGAATGTGATTTCCTGACTTCAGAGATAACTTTTCCAAATCTCATGAAGAATCTTGTTAAAGATCTTCCTTATCTCCATGTTCCAGAGGGTCTTGGGTCCTCCACCACCTCCTCCTCTCTGCCACCCCACACATGAGTTGTGTGTTTGGAAATGGCAGTATGTTGTGTCCAATGTTATGTCTCAGAGAGTTGCCATTTCATAGCCATTAATGGTTGCTCAATGTTTCATGATACTGGTATATGTTTTGGCATGTTTTCCTCTCTAGAGCTTTGGAAAAACCAAGTCATGAAAGAAAACTTTTCAGTTGTAAGACCACAAATAGTTGAAAATTTTATACAGAGATTAATGGAGAATTACCAGGATGGTGAGTTAGAGGTATGTATTGAAAATTAGTCATTCTGGTCTTTTTAAACGTAAACCCAAACAAGGTAGACTTTCTCCTTCCACATTGATTAATGCTTCTCTTACTCCCTTTGAATGATGATATGATTACTGAGGCTGAACCCAAAATCGTAATCATTTGTTACCATTTTCTTTTCTGGATTTCCAATAAGGATAGGAATAATTAGAATGCACGTGTTGGCTAATTTCAGATTTGGTCACATTTTTAAAGTAACCTTGGAGTTTGTTTATGAGCTAATTTTTAGCAACATTTCCTATTATTGATTTTTTTAGTATAAAAAATTTTAAAGAAGAAAACTAAAATAGCCCATAATACCACTACCTAGAAACACATCCCCTACAAAATATTTTTGAAATGTGCAATATGAAAAAAATTAACAGCACAAAAAGGCAACATTTCCTCTCCGCCCCCCCACCCCACTTCACCTTCCCCAGTTTCCTCTCCACAAACGAAGCGTTGACAATTTTTTTTGTGTTATCCTTCTAGAAAAATATTTGAACCCATAACAGCTCTGTATGATATATATTTTTAAAATATAGAAAAAATATATTTTCCAGATTTACTGGCCTAAAGAAGACTGGAGAAACCTCGAGAGTATGGCCCCCAGACACCCTTTTAGCTTAGTGGTGAAGTTACCTCCGAGGTTCACTGTTCAGCCTGGGAGTGGACAGCCCCGTAAAACCAAATGAGACTAATGAGGTACAGGAGTCTAGTGACAAGGGCCAGAAGGCAGAAGGGGACAAGGAAGCTGGCGATAGGGAACCCAAGGTTGAGTAAGGATATTGTTGATGTGTTGTGAGATTGTTAACCATTGTCATAGGGCAACATTTGTAGTAACTGTTAAATGAGAAACTATTTTGTTCTGTAAGCCTTTATCTTAAGTGAGAATAACAGCACAATTGGAAGAGCGTAGTCAATGTCACTGAACTGTGCATGTAGAAATTTTTGAAATGGTGTATCTTTGGCTATGTATATTTTCACCAAAAAAAAAGGTTGAGAAGTTAGAGGGTTAATATGTTGTGGGGTTGTTAACCAATGTCATAAAACAACATGTGTACTACTGTTTCATGAGAAACTATTTGTTCTGTAAGCCTTCACCTGAAGTACAATAAAATATAAATAGAATAAAATAAACAATAACACCCGTGAGGAATGTGATCCTTTAACAATCAACTATATGAAACCAAACTGTCAATCTTTACCCAAAAGCAAAGATGAGAAGGCAAGCAGGGGCAGGGAAACTAGATGGATGGAAATGGGGCAGTCGGGGTAGAAATGGTGAGGGCACTGACACATTGCAGGGATTGTAACCAATGTCATGGAACAATTTGTGCATGAATTGTTGAATGGGAATCCAATTTTCTGTATAAACCTAAAACAAAATAAAATATTAAAAAAATGTATTTAATATACCCCCACTCAACTGAAGGGTCCCCTTGAGAAGTGTCTTAGTGTGGGTTCTCTAGAGGAGCAAAACTAGTAAGGCATATAGATAGCGAGATTTACTGCAAGGAAATGGCTCATGCAATTGTGGGGGCTGGCAAGTCCCAAATCCATAGGTCAGGCAGCAGGTGAAGACCTCTGCTGGCTCACAGGATTAAGGGGCTGGTGCATCTGCAGGTCAGGTGGCAGGCTGGAGACTTCTGCAGACTTACGTCCCAAGAACTGGAGGTCAGGTGACAAGAAGAGTACAGGGTCGAGAGAGAGCACGAGCTTTGCCAGAGCATCCACTTATATACTGGAGGCAGGCCTCACCCCCAAAGAAACTTCCCTTTGGACTGATTGGCTGATCACATCAGATCACATCATGGAACGTGATTACATTATATTACATGATGGAAGAGCACCCAGTCCAGTGTCTGCCAAACCACTGAGAATCATAGCCTAGCCAACATGACACGTAACATTAACCATCACAAGCAGGACCCTACAGAGAGAGTGGGTTGGGAGGAGGCTGGGCTCAGGGGGAAGGCATGAGGTAAGGTCTTCTTCCTTTCACCCCTAACTACTGTCCATAATACTCGAGGTGACTCTGCCTGTCCTCAGTGGAGGTTTTCATCTCCTGATTCTGTTGTCCGTATCTTGAGTGCACCCTGCCCACCTGACACAACTGATGACTTTTTCAAAGCTTTACTGTCTTTTATTATACTACTTTATAATTACATTGTTTTAGAAAATAGAAATATATGTGTCAGAAAATGCATTCATAATCTTACCATTCATTGATAACCACTATTATCATTTTAGTGTATTTCCTTCCAAACTTTATTTATAAATTTAACTTTTTTCTATTTATGCCTTTTTTTTTTTTTTTTTTTACAAATTAAGATTATTCCAGGCTCAGTGGTTAAGAGCTCAGCTGCTAACCAAAAGGTCAGCAGTTGGAATCCACCAGTTGCTCCTTGGAAACCCCATAGGGCAGTTCTACTCTGTCCTATAGGTTCGCTATGAGTCAGAATCGACTCGGTGGCAATGGGTTTGGTTTTTGGGTATGTTAAACATCTTTCCTTGTCAATAAGCATATATCTACAGAGTAATTTTTAGTGGCTGATTAGTATTTTATTGTATAGATGGGCCAGAACGGATTCAGCCCATTTTCCATTGTGAAACACTTTAGATTGTTTCCATTTTTCTTTCCTATTGGAAAGAATACTGTAAAGAACATCTCTTTACATCTATTTTTGGGTATAACTTTTATTATTCTCTAAAGATAAATTCCTAGAAGAGGAATTACTGGGTCAAAGGGCATGAGCATTTTAAAATGTTTTTGTAGATACTGCCGGCTTGCTCTCCACAATACAGCACAGATTCCCCCGCCCATCAGCAGTGGGTGAGCGAGCCACCTTCCTCGCTCCTTCATCAGTACTGGGTTTTATTGTTATTTTCCATCTCTGCTAGTTTGTCTTAAGAACTGGCCTTGGCAAAGCCTGTCATGGGCTTTCTCTGGAGGTCACTGGGAGCACTGAGGTCGTACTGAAAGGACAGCATTCTGGGCCCTTCCAGGACAATTGATTCAGAGTTAGGGAAATTGTCCCAGGCTCCAGGGAAAGCCTCACTTCTGCAGCTGACCACCAGCGTGCTGAGAGCCTGTCTTGACCCTGGAAGTGTCACAGATAAAGCTCATGTAAGGATGGAGATTGGGTCTTACTCTTGACCCCATAAGATCCCCAGAAACACACAGAGACACACTCCCTGATACAGACAGAAAGAGACACGCGCAGACACATGGACACTCACATAGATAAACATACACTGATACAGACACACACATGCTCACATCCTACTCAGGTGGATCTATCCTCCTTCTACATATTGGCTCCCATTTCTCTCCAAATCTATGGCTGCCTTGGAGGGGTGGGCTTTTCCTCTGTTCTTTAATGGCCCTGTTCAAAAAGGGTGCCCAATCTCCTGGAGAAAGCAGAGACTGGACTTGTCTAGAGAGTGAGCAGTATGGCCCTTAGACGGGAGCAAGAGGGGCCCCTGCCTTATACCCCATACTTTAGAGGGCACCACTCTGGCCCTTCTCCAGCCACACACTTCCTCACCGGGTAAGAAACCCCTGGGGCCAAGGGGACATGCCCTCCCAGAGCCCCTGCTTTCCTTCTGGGCCATGTTCCAGCACCTGGAACCCTGGAATTCCCTGCATGGGCCTCTTTCCTGATTATCTTCATTAGGTTGGGTTCTCTAGAGAAACAAAAGCAGTGAAGCATGTGTATACATATATATGTGTGTGTGTATATATATATACACATATATATTTACAGAGAGATTTATCTCAAGGAAATGGCTCACATGGTTGTAGAGGCTGGCAAGTCCCAAGTCTATGGGTCAGGGGTCAGGCATTAGGCTGGAGGCTTCTCCTGACTCACGTAGCTGCAAGAGCTGACGAACTCAAAGATGGCAGCTGCTGCCTCATGGTTGTGAAGGCTGATGAATCCAAAATCAGCAAGTAAGAACTAGAGGTCAGATGCTGACAAGCCGAATGCAGGATCCAGAGCAGAGCAAAAGCCAGCAAGTTTTGCCAGAAAGTCCACATATATTGGATGCAGGCTGCACCCCCAAGGAAACTCCTTTTCAGCTGGTTGGCTACTCACAGCAGATTCCATCATGGAGGTGATTACATTATATCAGATCTCATCAGGGAAGTGATTACATCCTTATACGACTGCCAAACTACATCATAACTGCCAAACCACTGAGATCACGGCCCACCCAAGTTGACACACACCTTAAGGCTCACACTTCCCCAGAGGGGGAGTTGACCTCTTACCACCAGTATGCAGCACACCCCTGGCCTGAGGGGTGGCTGAGGGACAGCTGTGTGCAGGAGTGTAAATGGAGTTCAACAGGAGGCTGCAGCACCCACTCACGTGCATGCAAGGGCCCTCGTGGTATGGAGGTGGCAAGAAGAGGAGTTGTGCTGTAAACTATGAGCCGGGGACCAGCTGTCCCAAAGTCATCACATTTTAGCACAGAACTCAGAGTAGTCCAAGAATTATGCATTCAAATCTGGTCTTCCAGGTCATTTTGAAGATCTATTTTTCAAGGTAGGAGATTAAACATTTTAATTTCACTAGTTTGTTAGTTTGACAACTTTTAAATATTCATAATATTTAGATATACATTATGTGGCTTCCATTTGTATTCTTATCCCTTGCCCTGCAAATGTCAAAAGCAGACCTAAAAGAGGCTTGGAAGACTAGAGCCAATGTTTTGGTCTAGAGGAGAAGTGGAGGTGGGGCTGGGAGCCAAGGCCAGGGGTGCCATGAGACCTGGTATGGCGAGGTGGCCCTGCTGGAGCCACTGTGAATGATGCCCCTTCCTTTTCAGATCACTTTCAGGAAAGACCACCTCGAGGCCTGCCTCCTTTCCTTGAGTTGTGATGTGATGGCAAGAGAACGCAGCAACTTTGAGACCTACTCCATGTGCTATGAGCGGGTGTTGCAGCATGCGAGGCAAAGGCTCTGCCAGAAGCAGCAAGTATGTTCCTAGTGAGAAAAGAACTAAGAGTGGGAACAGATGTGGGCAGGGAAGCCCAGGAGTCACTCAGGAAAGTAAAACTGAGAGGGGGCTTTTCTTACACAAAAATCAAGGTGAATGGTACCCTCCAAGTTATTCTTCTCATTGGCTCATTTTCTTGGGCTCTGGTATTCTCAGCTGCAAAGGTGACAGCCCCAGGGCCATGTGCTTTGGCGGTATCCAGGAGGGAATATAATAGGTGAGCAACCAAGGAACTGGGCCCCAGGGGAATACGTGGAGCTGACATTCCTACCCTCAGCAAACACAAAGGGCACTTGTTCAGTTCCTGGTTGAGTAAAGAAGCCAGGATCCTTGAGTAAACTCTCTTCAGGAGAACTATCATGGGCTGGTCTCGCTGATGAGGCTTCCCTGGAATGAGATCCCACTGGTGGAATCCAAGAGTCACTCCCGTCCTAGATTGCACACTGTTTTGAAAATGAATTGCATAAGAGATTCAGAGTAATTTTAGTTTGTACCTAAGAAAAGTTGAAACACTAGGCAAAATAAATCAAATGAAGTATTAAAATATCAAATATTGAGTCTTAGACTCACTCCCATTTTGGCTTCTCCTTGTCGCTGAGGCCTCTGCATCAGTGTGGATACTGGGAAACCGACACTGTCTGTTGGTACTGTGTTGGACATCAGAAAGTCCAATGGGGGGACAGCACAGTCCTGGCTCCACCTGGGGACTGAAAGCCTCAAAATGGGGCTCCACCCACACAAACAGGAGGTGTCTGGAACACATTACTGAATTGGGCCATTGTGAGAAGAGTAAATATTTGAGTTTGCTTATGCACTGCTTTCTCCTCCTCAGGAGTTAGATGTTATACAAAGAAGTCAGAGGCCACCTGAAGAACATGCTGGTCAGGTAGGTCAGTTACTACTTATATTCATTTCCTGGGGTTGCTGTAACAAAGTGCCACAAACTGGGTGCCTTAAAACCACAGATACTTATTCTCTCACAGTTCTGGAGGATAGAAGTCTAAAATCAAGGTATCAGCAGGCTCTCTCTCTTTGTCTCTCCTAGCTTCTGGTGGTTGCCTGCAATCCTTGGCGTTCCTTGCTTGTAGATGCATCCCTCCAAGCTCTGACTCTGTCATCACATGGAGTTCTCCTCTCTGTGTGTGTCTGTGTCCAAATTTCCTTCCTCTTATAGGGACCCCAGTCATCTTATTAGGGATCACCTTAATCCAGTATGATCTCATTTTAATTTGATTACACCTGCACGGACCCTATTTACAAATAAGGTCACATCCACTGATTCTGGGTGAATATGAAATGGGGTGGGGAAGGGGGGTTTGTTCAACTCAATACACCACTTAAAAGGTGTTCTTTCCCGTTTCTCAAATCCATCCTCTTGGAGTTAGCCAGAAATGAGAATTCCTTAATGTCATTTGCTTGTGCCACCTTCAGGGGTGGCCTGTTGAAGTTCCATCAGTGAAGGAGACCACTGTGGAGACACTCACAGGAATGTTTTCACTTTTTATAAGCAATCCTCCTTAGAGGTCTTTTTTCTTGAGTTTTCTGTTTATTTTTTATTGAAGTTTTTGTTTTTTATTCTGTTGTTGTTATTTCATTCATTTATCATTTTCTTTTTTCTATTGAGACCAGTTAAAGTGCATTCCAACAAAAGAAAGAGGTACTTGGGCTGAGGTGTCAAGGCAAGGCCACACTGAAGATGGGGGCCAAGACAACTGAAGTCTTTTCCCCAACTGAAAACTGCTGAAGCAGTGGCTCTTCTGGGGCCATGCACTCAGCAACCATTTATTGAGCACCTACTACGTGTCTGGCACTGTGCTTTGATTCTTCTGCCCACTTGTGTGCAACAGGATATTTACCCTCTTCACGAGGTTCAAAGTAGAAGTGCAGTTTCAGCACTGATCCACTCAGAACTATTTTGTAGTAGCAGTTTGGGATTCCTAAATTGTTTTCCCTTTAATAAATATTTCTGCTGCTAGGTTGCTGAGCTCAGCCATGATATGATCGTGGAAATCACTGCTCTGAGAGCCCGACTCACCGATCTAGAAGAGGAGAGTCTGAGTCTCAAAAAGCAGATTAGAAAAGAAGTCCAAGAAGAATATGAAGCATTAGTCCAAGCCTTGTTTGTGACCTGTTTACACATAAAAGTGAGTGTCCCTGTGTCCAGACAGCCCTGTGGAGAGCCGGGAGTAACCAAAGCAGCTGGATGCAGAGAGATCAATGACAGAATAGGCTTTGTGGTAACAAGAGATTCTTGGGCCCTAGAATTTTCCAGTCCTAAGCTTTCATTGCAGAAAGATAGGCAGCAATGGCTTGTCATTATTTTACCACGGTAGACACTGAATGTTAGATAATTTAAGTGTTTGTTATTTTCACACTCTATTGCCAGTTGCCATCTGATTGCTGGGTGCTGCTGCTCCAAGGCCCCAACCGTTTATAGCACTGTTTTGTCTATTGAATGTAACTATCTAAGGAGAGAGCACAGTGCATACGACCAGACCAGACCCCAGTGTAGGTCACAGCAGCCACCTCCTGACAGCCCTCTGGGTAGATGCAGAATTTTAATCAGCTTCCAGAAATTTCTCCAGCCCTTTCTCTCACCTCCATCTGGTGTCAGAGCTGCTGACCCGTCAATGAAGACTCATCCCAGGAGAGAAGTAGTAATGGGGTGTCTATGTGCCCAGCACTGTTAAAGCCAGTCACGCTCTTGTATTGTTTGCACAGCTGTAAGATGGATGCCCACACCTAAAATGGGCCGTCACGGAACCTGATCCAGCATCCCAGCAAGTGTGAAGTTCAATACAAATGTACCACCCCCAATTCTAACACCAGTAGACCAGTTGCCATTGAGTCGATTCGACTTACGGCTTCCACAAGCGTGTCAGAGTAGAACTGTGCTCCACAGGGTTTTCAATGGCTGATTTTTTTTGGAAATAGATCACCAGGCCTTTCTTCTGAGGTGCCTCAGGGTGGACTTGACCCTCCAACCTTTCAGTGAGCAGCTGAACACATTAACCATTTGCACCACCAAGGGACTCCTAAGTCCAACACAGCCTTCTCCGATCTTCCCCCTTCCCTACTATTGGGTGCACCACGGAGCCAGTCCCATTTGGGTCCCTATTTCCCTGCCTCTTCCCAGGGATTCCAGAGTGGTCTCTAGGTTTGTTATGTTGACAAGACCTTCCATCAATGCTTTTCCTTGGCCTGGTCATTCCAGAGAGGACTGGAGATCTCCTTCTTACTTGTGAAGGGCCCTCAAAGTACTAATGCTTATAAATATTAAAGAATCAAAACCAAAATGCAATATCCCTAGTGCTATGGGAGAGGGGTGAGCAGACAGTGAAGGCTGGAATTTGCTGAGAGATCTTTCAGATGTGAGATTGTTGGAGAAATTACCTAAGCTCTTTTTGCTACTGCCAGATTCCTAGATAAAAAATAAATTCCCTACTTGTCTCAGGAGAAAATAGTTCCACAGATGCCTCAAAGTAGAAAATCCCTGTGCTAACCCAGGGTCCCAAGAATGCTGTGAAGCTTCAGCTGTGAGGCCAGCAGCCAGGCTTCCTGTCGAGGCTCCCCAGCTGCAAGCTATCTTCCTGCCTTTGTCTCCAAGGAAATGGTTCAGAGGAGAGGACGCCCCAGCCCTACCCCTCACCCTGAGAACACCGGTTCTCTAGTTGTACTTACCAGTGATCAAGCCATTTCACCCTTGCTAGGAGCCCTGGTGGCACAGTGGGTAAGAGCTTGGCTGCGAACTAAAAGGTCGGCAGTTTGGATCCAGCAGCCACTCCTTGGAAACCCTATAGGGTAGTTCTACTCTGCCCTGTAGGGTCACTGTGAGCTGGAATCGACTCAGAGGCAATGAGTTTGGTTTTCGGATTGGTATAAGCCATTCAGAATAAGCTGCTTCATGAGATGTCTGCTGGAGCCTAGACAGGGAGGCAGCCAGCCTGATTCCTTTCTTTATTTTACCTCTTTTTAATGGAGTTCCTTGGTAGTAGCTCATCTACAGTGTTTTGCTGGTCAGATTCAGCTCTAAGACAACATGATACAAAAAACCCCCAGGTTCAACTTCCAAGTACAGTGACCCTATAGACAAAGTAGAACTGTCCCATAGCGTTTCCAAGGAACAGCTGGTGGATTTGAACTGCCAGCCATTTAGTTAGCAGCCGCGCTCTTAACCACTTAGCCAGCAAGGCTCCCAAGTAATTTCAGGAATTGGGAATTCCCAGGGGGCAATTCAATCAGCAGATTTCAGTCTACAGCCTCCCACTGTTCTACATGTTTAACTTGCCTTGGCATCTGACATCCTAGGCATGCTCTAAGACATGCAGGAGTCCAAATGATGAAGGTTTGTGGATTAAAGACAACCCTAAAGGGGCCACTAGTGTGACTTCCATATAATACATGAATAAATAATTGGAGGAGTCCCTGGGTGTTGCAAACAATTAACATGCTAAGCTGCTCACCAAAACATTGGCAGTTTGAGTCCATCCAGAGGCACCTTGGAAGAAAGGCCTGGTGATCAGAGGCAAATTAAAACCCTATGAGCACCGTTCTACTCTGACACACATTGGGTCACCATGAGTCAGAATTGACTCTATGGCAACCGGTAACTGGTAACGATAATTGGGTTGATGATATTTTAATGTGAAATCAATTCTGAAAGTTGGGTTTTAGAAGGAAAAAATGCCTCTTCCTCAGTTGCCCTTTACTCCCCCCAAATCCACTGTACTTCCTTAACTTGAGTTTGCAATTTGCAGGAGAAGCTGGATGAGAACCAGCTTAATTTGATCCAGAAAGTGTGTGAGCTAATCAGCGAGGTGAGAAGAGACGGGATTGACAATATGAAAGACCTAAAGAAAAAATGGGGCTCTGCCAGACCTGAAGAAGAAATAGAAGAGAACCCAGCCAAAGTACATGATTCCATTTAGCAACGGGACAGCAGCATCTCAGCCTAGCGTTTGACCCCACTGTTTACTCCGTTTCCATTCCAGCCTGGTTCCCCTGAGAAAGCACTGCATCAGGCATTTAAGCAGGGCACCAGGGCTCACTGCACAACCGTGTCATCTTTTGGAAGGCATGTTTCTGATGCTAGGATTCGAGTCCTTCCCGAGGGAAGTGTTGGGAGCAGGCTTTTCTGAAAGTGAGCCTTCTTAGCAGGAGCAGCTGCAGGCCTTGGAGGAGGACAACTGCAGCCTGGCCGCCCTGGTGTGCAAAGCCAGGATCCTGGGCCGCGGGAGGCTGGCCGTGCAGCAGGCGCACTTCCGGGGCCAGCTGAGCAGGGCAGAAAAGGTGAGCGCTGGGGGAGGGAGGTTCATCCAGGCCCCGGGGCTTAGCTGCAGCTGCTGAGCTGGTGTTGGTGTCAGGTGGCAGGGCCTTGCTGAAGGATCTGACAGTTTGGGATTTTTCCTGTGGAGGGGCAAGGTCAGAGCACTGGGAGAGAGAAGAGGCAGAAGCAAACGGCAAGAGAGAACAGAGCAGAGGGCTTGAGACAGCTTTGTTAAAATACTGCACATCTTTAGGTTTCTACCATGATTCATCTGAGCTAAATGAAGTAACAAAATAATAAATGGAAAATCTGCTTTAAAGAAAATTGAAACTGAAACACATATTGACAGTGGTTTGGAAACCTTCACTCTTACTGCTTCTGAACGTCTTTATTTAATCTGTCTTATTCTTCTTAATTATAGAATCGGGGGAGCAGTGACCAGCAGGAGCTCCATTCTGCTGGAAGTTTATTTATTTATTTATTTTATTGTTGTAGTTTAAATGAAGTTTACATTTCAAGTTAGTTTCCCATACAAAATTTTATACATACATTGTTACGTGACCCTAATTGCTCTCCCTATACTGTGATAGCACACTCCTCTTTTCCACCCCTGATTCCCCATGTCCAATCAACCAGCTCCTAACCCTCTCTGCCTTCCCATCTCACCTCTGGAGAGAAGCTGCCCGTTTAGTCTCTTGTATCTACTTGAGCTAAGAGGCACACGCCTCACGAGTATCACTTTATGTCCCACAGTCCAGTCCAATCCCTGTCTGAAGAGTTGGCCTTGGAAATGTTTTAGTTCTGGGCTGATAGAGAATCCAGGGGCCATGCTTTCCGGGGTTCCTCCTCTGCTGGAAGTTTTAAAGAACAGTCGATGATGAGGTGGTTTAGATACTGCTTGGGAAACTAAAAATGTGAGAAGGACACTTATTTTTCCTATCGATCTACTGTGTTTGGAATATTTACAGGAAGCTATTCAAAGTAAAAAAGTGTTTGAGCATCAAGCTAATAGCAGAACGAGAAGTGGTTTTGTTTCGTCAAGAGCCGCTGGCGCTCAGGCAGGCCCTTGCCAGGGCTCAGGGTGACAACGTGCGCACGTGGAAGTGGCAGGAGAACCAGGTATCCGGGCCGCAGGGCAGCTCTTTGTTCCTCTTTTTGAGCACACTCTGCAAAGCCAAAGGTAGCAACCAGAGGCAGCCATGTGGCTGCCTGTAGCAGTCACCAGAGCTCCACAGGGTGAAGCTGAGCAGATCTAACAGCCAGAAAAAGATGGCTGGCACCTTGGCTTCCCTCTTCTCCCTCCTTTCCCAGCCATGAAACCAAGGGCAGTGGCCAGCGGGACTTTGTTCTCACTCATATTTGGCTAAGATGATAAAATATTATTCATACACAAGATCGTTTTCCTGTGTGTGTGTGTGTTAACCAGGAGGGTGTCTTGGGTCTGGGTCTCTGCCTTGATCACAATGCTGTTCCAGCCCCAAGCCCACATTCCATTTGTTTTAGGGTACAAAACATCACAAAGTTTATTAAAGCAAAAAGAAAGTTTTATTTGGCATACATTCAAAGAAGCAAGAGTGGGAAAATCGACAATCATGCTGTCACAGCCATGTCCAAGGAATGTTACAGAGTCATCAGTATATATTAACATTACAAATGGACAAAACCATTGAAAGCTTCACCTTTTTACAGTTTGGCTAGAAACTGATTCTACATTTTGAATTGTCTTTATTAATAATCATTGTTATAGGTTTCAGTAATGACAGTCAGGAGGGTCCTGATTGGTCCAACAAATCTTACTATTCACTAAATGCTAATAGAAAAAGATAAGAGTGGGAGGGAAGGTATGTGGGTCATTTGTGCTGTTCTATTAGTTTACCTGAACCAAAAAAAAAAAAAAACCAAACCCATTGCTGTCGAGTCAATTCCGATTTTTCAGAGTGACCCTAAAAGATGTTTTCCAAGATTATCCTAGCTATTATCTTCATACCTCAGGGCCCAGTTGATGCATCCTTGTGAGTCCTTGTGAGTCCAGCGCCACCTGGGTCACATTTTAGAACAAGGAATAATGGCTCCAATATTATTTCCTAAATCACATTGACAGCAAACCTCTGCATGTGGAGGGTGGGGCAGAGTCAGCTCTACCCCCAAGCAGTGGGTCTCGGGTCCTTTCCTGATTACCCACATTCAGTCTTACTCTCAGAGTTTACTGCTGCCCCAGAGGGATGGCACCAAATAAGGGTGTTTTCAGTCTAAACTCTTAATAACTGTGCTAACCCGTTGAGGATGATTAAAACAGAGACCCTAGATTTAAAGAAAGAACAGCTGAGTTTAAATAACGGCCTGAGAAAGCTGGGCATAATTAAAGCATGAAATAAAAGTTGCTTATTTGATCATTTTGGACCCTAATGCTTCCATTATTGTGCGTCAGGTGAATTAATTATAGAAAGTACTTGGCAAACAGTAAAGTCACCATACAAATGTCAATAAGTATTCGTGTTAATATTATAATTAAGTATTGACCATCTAGTATCATGGTGCTAACCAAAACAAACAAACAAACAAAAAGAAACCCATTGCCATCGAGTTGATTCGGACTCACACTGACCTGATAGGACAGAGTAGAACAGAGGAGAACTGCCCCGGAGGGTTTCCAAGGAGCTGCTGGTGGATTCGAACTGCTGACCTCATGGTTAGCAGCTAAGCTCTTAACCACTGCGCCACCAGGGCTCCTTTATGGTGCTACTTATTAGCAATATTTCAGAACAGAGCCAAATGATTACTACTCTTCTTCTTTATCCAACAAATATCTGGCATCCCCAAAGCTACTTTGGAAGTCAAGACAGAAACAAGATTAGAACCTCCTTTCCCCACCTCTTACATGTATTGCATCACCCTGTCTCCCAGTGGAGCCCTGGTGGTGCAGTGGCTAAGAGCGCCCCTGCTAACCAAAAGATCGGCAGTTTGAACCCACCAGCCGCTCCTTGGAAACCCTACAGGGCAGTTCTACTCTCTCCTATAGGGTCGCTATGAATTGGAATCGACTCCACGGCAATAGGTGTGGGTGTATGTCTCCCCATATTAAACCCTTAATGCTGCTATCTCAAGATAAAGGCTGAATAATAATGCAAGTTTAGCTTGTGATAGATATGCGTATTTGGTTAATAAGCTAATTAACATACACATTATCATCAGATCTTGGAATTAAGAGACCAGATTATTTGGCCTGGTGTTGGTGTATAGAAACATTATCACTTTCCTGGTTTTTGTTGTTATTTGTTTGGTTCCCTCTGCATATTGTCTCAGGACTTACAATATAAATGCCAGGCTGGGCTAGAGACGCTGGTGGTCTTGCTGCTGGCTGGCATAGGACAGAACAGCTGAGCTGTGTTACCTTGAGCCCAAGAAAACACTGCATAATTCTACCCCTGGGCCCTAAAGGAGGGGATGGTGATAGGGTCGACCAGCCTCTTGTTCTCTGCCTTCGTCTACCAACACACACTCTGCTTTTTTTGTTTCCTTTGGTCTTTTCCTACCATAGGTTCAGTTGCTGAAGGAGTTAGAACACAGAGTGAATGAGGAAGCTCTCGACTGGCAGCAACTGGATTTACTGAAAACATCCAGCATGAAGAAGCTCTTGGCGATGCGGAGCAAAAAGAACAGCAACTGCAGCGCCTTATAGAAGAGGCTGAGAGGGCTTCTAAACTGGGCCAGTTTCAGCAGAAAAAAATCAAGAGAGAAATCCGACAGGTAAACTCCAGTGAGAGGTAGTGGCCACTAGTAAGTGAACTAGGGTGCTCTGGCAAGAACTGTTTCATTCTTCAGTCTTTTCCATGCCCCCTCTTGTTTTCCACAGCAGCACATCTCAACCTTTGTCACATCTAGGCACACTAGGAAAATGGTAATGTTTATACCGACACTGGGGTGACTGTGCCCACTGCTTATGGCAAGAGATGATGGCTGACTGCCTCAAGGCTCAAAATCTTAGGCACACATGTGACCAGCTTGAAAAACATGTTTCTGCAGAACTCTAGTCTTTGAACTAAGAAGTCTTTAGAAAATTCTGAGGAGTCTGGAAAAGTGGCAAGTATTATGGAAGCCATAATAAGATTTTGTTCAAGGTATTTCTGGATTTGCAAGCATGGTTTGCAGACACAATATATTTTTGTTAAATATACTCCACAGTTTAAAAAAAAAAATTAAAGGAAATAAGATAAGGTGAATGTGTGGATTAATGAAAAAGTCCAACAAAGGAGATCACAGAATGTAATTCAATACAAAAGGAAAAAGAAACAGCACCTCACAGAGCAGGCAATTCATACATATTCATTGAATGAATAAATCAATTAATTCACTGGAGTTATTAGAAGAAATTGGAAAATCAAATTATTGGCCAAGTTTTTCAAGTGCTCAAGGAGGCCAAAAGATAAATGGTCACTAAAATGGATAAAAATGAAATTGATGGAAGTCTTGAGAAAATATTTTTGTAAAAATGGGGAGAGAAAATGAGTAGCTATAGAATTAAAAAAAATAGAATTTTCCATTTATTTCATGAAAAGTAAACTAAAATATGGCTGAACCGGTAAGAAAAATTTGGCATCACACATCTGCTTTACAAATTATGCCTTTCTAAATAAGCAAAAAAAACCAAATCCGTTGCCATCGAGTTGATTCCAATTCATAGCGACCCTGTAGAACAGAGTAAAACTGCCCCATAGGGTTTCCAAGGAGCGGCTGGTGGATTCAAACTGCCTATCTTGTGGTGAGCAACCGAGCTCTTAACCACCGCACCACCAGGCTCTGCCTTTCTAAAAGCCACCACAAAATCAGGGAGGTTCATAGATCAGTATTTCAAAGTCCTCTCTAGTTAGTGGAGCCCTGGTGGCGCAGTGGTTAAGAGTTCTGGTTGCTAACTGAGAGGTCAGCAGTTTGAATTCAATGGCAATGGGTTTGGTTAGATTTTTGGTCTCTAGTTAGTAGCTAGTTATTTGGTTAATGGCAGAGATTCCAGAGGTAGTCAAAACAGGAATATTTGGAGATTTCTCTCAATAAATGCATTTTTGATAAATGTATGTAAAAACCACCATTGGCCCTTTCTAAACTACTCCTCCAGCTCTCCCAACAGCTCATGTATCCTAGGGCTTGTTGTGTGCCATCGAGTTGATCCTGACTCATGGTGACCCCATGTGACAGAGCAGAGTTGCCCCACAGGGTTTTCTTGTCTGTAATCTTTACAGGAGCAGATACTGCACATCCTGCAGAGCCTCTGGGTAGATTCAAACCGCCAACCTTCTGGTTAGCAGCCAAGTGCTTAACAGTCGTGCCACCAGGGCTCCTTTCATATACCACTTTTTGTTAGGTGCTTCAAGTCTATTCTGACTCCTAGCGACCCTGTATGACTGACAGAGTAGGACTGCCCCTGTAGAGTTTTCTTGGCTGTAATCTTTATGGAAGCAGATCAACAGGTCTTTCTCCTGTGGAGCCACTGGAGGGGTTCAAACCACCAACCTTTCCATCAGCAGCTGAGCGTTTATAGCAATCCACCCTACACCAGAAGAGCCCCCATGACTAGCAGAGAGGCCTCTTGAATCCAGCTCCAGTTTTCCAACTCTGTGGTGGGTATTGACTGGCCTCAGCGAGCATCCATGGCCTTGCTTACTCCTACACCTGGCGAGGTCTTGTAGAGCATAGGCCCTGGAGTCAGAATGCCCAGTTCACAACCCCAGGGCCCCCAAAAGTCACTAGTTGTGTCACCGTGGGCAAGGTCTGGGGCTTCTCTGTGCGTTAATTTCCTCATCAATAAAATGGAGATAATAATGGTACTCATCTTTTTATGAGATCTGGGGGAAGATTAATTAACTCAAATAAAGTGCTTGGAACAGGATCTGACATGTAACTCTCAATAAATGTTGGCTGTTTATATTTTTGTTGGGAATACGAAGTGGACAAGTTTTGAAAACAGGTAGATAGACCTGGATTCAAATTCTATCTCTGCCACTAACTGGTTGTGTGATGTTGGGTGAGTCACTGAAACTACCTCTGTGAAATGGGGATGCAGGTGTGCTAGCCCAAGGTAGGTCCTGATTAAGCATGTCTCATGCCTTTGCTAGTATTTCTCAAATTAATTTGGCCCCAACCTGGTTGAGGGAATCTTGATGTTTCCCCTGACTCCCGCCCATGGGGAGGGAATCCTACACAAATCCACATAGTACAAAGACAGACTCTGGACCTAGTTTATATTAGGAAGGTTTTTATAACTAGAGATCTGATAATCAATTGAATTTTAAACAACACTTGAGAGCTTCCACGCAGCACAAGGAAACTTGAACACTCATTGCCGTCGGGTCGATTCCGACTCATAGCGACCCTAAAGGACAGAGTAGAACTGCCCCATAGGGTTTCCAAGGAGTGGCTGGTGGATTTGAACTGCTGACCTTTTGGTTAGCAGCTGAGCTCTTAACCACTGTCACCAGGGTTCCAACACAAGAACCCACCCCCCCCGGCAAAAAAAAGAAACCATTGCTGTCAAGTAGATTCTGACCTGTAGTGACCCTATAGAACAGAGTAGAACTGCCCCACTGAGCTTCCAAGGAGCACCTGGTGGATTTGAACTGCCGACCTTTTGGTTAGCAGCCATAGCACTTAACTACTGAGCCACTAGGGTTTCCTGACACAAGGAACAGCCCCCTTTAGTATTTGTAGGACAAGCCTGTGGTCACAGCTCAGAGTGCACAGGGCCTCTGGTTGAGTCTATACAGGCACTAGTAGGATTTAAAACACCTGGAGCTAAACTTTTGCGATCAGTGTGTATTACTTTTTTATCATTAAAAAAATCAGATGATAACATAAATTTTAAAAGAAAAAGCACCTGTAATCTATGCAGATTAGGTGTACTTTGGATTATGGGTCAACCCTGGGTAGGGAGAGCTGCAGGAGTAAACACAAAGGTTACCTCCAGGAATGGGTGCTGGGGCCCTCCTAGCAGAAGGCAGTCTAGTGTAGATATCTTGCAGAGAGGTCAAGTCCTTCCTCTGCTTGAAACAGTCCAGGGGCTCCTGCAGGTACACAGGGTAGATACTGGCTTGGCCTCCAAGGTTCTGTGTGAACTGATCCCTCACCCCTCCTGTCTCCCTACCCCTCCTGTGTAAACTGGTCTATCACCTCTCCTCTCTCCCTATCCCTCTGGTGAAATAAACATAAAAGATATAACTTTTGTAAGTAAACTCCTGGCTATGATAATGCACAAAGGCGGTCACAAGAGCCACCTTTGTTCCTCTTTGGTCAAGTTCTTAACCCTTATAGAGCTCTGGATTCTCAGAAGGCTGAGTTTAGCCTAATCAGGACTTCCACGGGACCCACACTCTCCCTAAGAACTGCCCTGTGAATGGAGGGGACTCAGGTACGTACCCCAAAACATTTCCAATTCCTAAGCACTTTTTCTCTCAGATGAGAAGCCGGCTTGCCCAGGAGCGCAGTGTGAAGCTGGACACTTTCCAGCATGTAGAAGAGCTACAAAGTCAGCTTAATGATGCTGAGCAATCATCTGTCCAGATGAGCTCACCAGGCGGTAAGGATACTCCTCCTCTGTCTGGAAAAATCTCTCAGTCTCCAGGGTCTGAATTGAAGGAGAGTCTCAGTTACACAACCGATGATTAGTGAGTGGGTGCCTAATAATGTTTGTTGAATGAATGAATCACTTTAATTCTGATATGCAGTCAGAACTTTCTACTTTAGTTCACTTTGGAGTACTGACATCCTATACTAAAAAGTTTCAATATTAAAAACTGGTCCCAGGAGTGTACTTAAAGAACATCAGGGACTTCACTGATTTTGAAGCATCTTAATGCCTTGGGACATCAATGACCACATTTCTCAGACGTTATTCATAAAGTACGTTATGATTCTTGACTGCTGGGGGCTTAAGGAGTCCTATGAAAATGGCAATCAAAATAGCCCTGTGGACACTGCAGCCAGCAGGCAGCACAGAACAAAGGCCAGACCCCAGAACGTCTCTAAACTAGCTTGCTCCTTGTGCTACTTTCCTAGGGCAGCCATAACAAAATAACACAAAGCAGGTAGCTTTAAACAATGGAAATTTATTGTCTGCAGTTCTGGAGGCTGAATCCAAGATCAGAGTGTCAGCCATGTTGATTCCTTCTGATGCCTTAAGGGAGAATCTGGTAGCTCCAAGAGTTGCTTGGTTTGCAGCTGCAGTGTCACATGGCATCCTTCCTGTCTCCCTATCTTCTTCCTTTTTATAAGGACACAATCATGTAGGAGTAGGACTTACCCTCCTCCAGTATGACCTCAAGTTAACCTAACAGATAACATCTATCTTCAAAGGCCCCATTTCCAAACAAGGTCATGTTCACAGGTACAGGGGCTAGGACTTCAACGTATCTTTTTGGGAGACACAATTCAATCCATAACAATCCCTGTAAGATGAGGGCTAAATAAATTTTAAGTTCTATTCTAGATTTGACTCTTGGGAATAAACCAAGAGTATCAGTAACCATGTCCCTGGGTGGTGCAAACAGTTAACATGCTTGGCTGATAATCGAAAGGCTGGTGGGTTAAGTCCACCCAGAGGCAACTTGGAAGAAAGGCCTGGTGATCTACTTCCAAAAACCAGACACTGGAAGCCCTTGAAGCACAGTTCTACTCTGACACACATGGGGTGGCCGTAAGTCAGAATTGACTCAATGACAGCTAGGCTTTTTTTGGTTTATCAGTAATCATAATTGGCCTATTATTAAGCTCAGCCAATCCTCTTCTTTCTGGTTCTGAGCACAGCCTGCTGATTGAGTGTTTGGGCTTCAGAATCAGCCAGTTAGGGTTCAAGTCCTGGCTCTGCCACTACTAACTGTGTGCCCCATAGAGTTTCTAAGGCAGAACTCTTTATGGAAGCAGACTGCCATATCTTTCTCCTGCAGGGCGGCTGGTGGGTTCAAACCACTGACTTTCTGATTAACAGCCAAGTGCTTAAACCACTGCACCACCAGGGCTCCTTGTGTGACCTTAGACGGGTTAATTAGTCTCTGTAAAATGAGAATACCCACTTCAAAGGTTTGTTCTGAGGATTAAATGAAATAATGCATATCTGGCACTTAGTAGGAGCCCTGGTGGCACCGTGGTTAAGCACTTGGCAGCTAAGAGAAGGATCAGCGGTTCAAACCCACCAGCCGCTACATGGGAGAAAGATGTAGCAGTCTGCTTATGTAAAGATTACAGCCTAAGAAACCCCATGCGGCAGTTCTACTCTGACCTACAGGGTCACTGAGTCAGAATCGACTTGAAGGCAAGGGGCTGGCACTTACTGTAGTGGTACTCAGTAACTGTGCAAATGTTGGTTATTTTATTTTCATACACGTTTAGTCCTTTAGCTATGTTTCCTCTTGGCTATTCGCCCGTGTGTATGAACTGAGAAAACACAGCTTTTCAGAAGCAGACAAATTCAAAGATCAAGTTGCTTGGGGTTTACTAAGGGCCATCGTCCCTGCCCCTGTGCCTGCTGCCTGGGCCCTGACAGGTGGTGCTGGCATCTCCCACCCTGGCTGCCTCTCCACTGGCTGTTACTCCGGCCCCAGCTCAAAGACAGAGCAACAAGAGTCCTTAAGGTCCTACTTTGGCCACTGGTGCTGAGCAGTTGTGTGCCTCACACTGTCATCTCTTCATTTCCTGGAATTTTTCTTTTCCCTTTCCCTTCTGCCTCCAGCCAAGCCAAGAATGTTTTTAATCCTTTTCTGAGTCCTAATATGTCCTCACTGTCATCCATGTCCTCCAACACCTGCATATTTATGGAGAAGAACCAGAGTGGGGCCTGAGGGAGGGAGCAGCCCCTAATTCCCAGGTGTGGGGCTGTGGCAGGAATGAAAGAAAGGCCTCTTTCCCAGGCAGCAGGCGTAGCAGTTATTCTGAGGCCCCAGCCCTGGCCTGTCCCTCTGCAATGAGAGGAGAGGGCTTGCTGAGCATTTCCTACTTGTAAGATTCACTAGAAGGGAGACACTGGGTCATATCTGTCTTTTTAGTATCCAGCACGCTGAAGGGACAGCCAGATAGCACCCATGCTGTTAGCACTTAAAAGGCTGAAGTCAGCCATTCCCACTCCTTCCTCAGCTGTTGTCCCAGCTGGAAGCTTGAAGTGACCCAGGACTTTCCTTTTGGCAGCAGCAATAGCAGCATCATCCCAACTTCCCACATCAGAAGTGGAGGCAGAGTTAAAGGACTAGTTCCCTTTACTTGGCATTAACACGAATTCCCCTAGGATCCTGAGATTCCAGAGAAACTACTATTTGTTCTAGAGTAGTTATCCTCAAAATGCTCAGGGAAAACATGAAATCTATTGTCTCACAAAACTATAAAATATTCAGAAGTGAACTGGTTTAAGGTAGCTTGATCAAGGTTCAAACTATTTCATGAGGACTGGTTTCTCTCTCTCCATCTTTGGCTCCAAGAATGCTGGGGGCATAAAGGGGAAGCAAGATGGCTGCCACTTCTGTAGCTTCCATTCTGTCTGTTCAAGCTCAGCATGGTAGTAGAGTGTGTAGATGGGAAGAGTTAAAAGGAATTGGGCTCCGACTGGACTAACTTAGGTCATGTGCCTCATTTTGAACAAATCACTGATGCCAGAGACGAAGATGACTTGTTGACTTAGGCCCAGCTAAGGTGCTTGTCCCTGGGGCTGAGGGTGGTTTCTCATCTTCTCTGCAGCAACTATTTTAAATCATCCACATGTCTTCAAATCTTCATATACTGCCTCTCCCCCGCCGCACAGCACTTCACCTCCCACTTTACAGAGAAATTAAAAACCACACCGCTAGAATTCCCTCTTCTGCTTGTCCCCAGGATACCTATGAGTGTGTAGAGAGGAAGCAGATAAATAATTCAAGGACTATAAAACACTGCTGAAAGAGACTAAAGAAGACTTAAATAAATGGAAAGATGCTCCATGTTTATGGATTGGAAGACTTAATATTGTTAAGATGTTGACAATACTCAAAGTGATCTATAGATTCAATGCAATCTTGATCAAAATTCCAACAGCCTTCTTTATAGAAAAAGAAAAACCAATCCTCAACTTTATATGGAATGGTAAGAGGCCCTGGATAGCTAAACCAATGTTGAAAGAGAAGAACAAAGTAAGAGGACTCACAATTCCTGATTTTAAAACATACCGTACAGCTACACTAATGGAAACAACCTGGTACCGGTATAACAATAAACACGTGACCAATGGAATAGAATTGAGAGTCCAGAAATAAAGCCACACATCTATGGTCAACTGATTTTTGACAAGGGTGCTAAGTCCATTCGATGGGGAAAGAAGAGTCTCTTTAATAAATGGTTCTGGGAAAACTGAATTTCCACATGCAAAAAAATGAAACAGGACCCATGCCTCACACCATATACACAAAAACAAATTCAAAATGGATTAAGGACCTAACTGTATAAACTAAAACCATAAAATTCTTAGAAGAAAAAGCAGGGGCAACAATGTCAGGCCTACCTTTCAACAATATATAAATTATATTAGATAATCTAATAACAAAAGCACAAACAGCAAAAGACAAAATAAATAAATGGGACCTCATAAAAATTAAAAACTTTTGTTCATCAAAAGACTTTAAAAAAGTGAAAACACAAGCTACCGACTAGGAGAATATCTTCAGAAACTATATATCCAACAAGAATCTAATAACCAAAATATATATAAAACTTCGACAACACCAAAAAGACAGATAACCCAATCATAAAATAGGCAAAGGATCTGAGTAGACATTTCACCAAAGAGGACTTTCCAATGGCCACCAAACACATGAAAAAATGCTCAGTGTCATCGGCCATCAGAGAGGTGTAAATCAAAACCACAATGAGACAAGATTAAGAAAAAACAAACAGAAAATAACAAATGCTGGTGAGGATGTGGGGAAATTGGAACTCATCCATTGCTGGTGGGAATGCAAAATGGTACAGCTGGTTGTGGGAAACAGTGTGGCGGTTCCTCAAAAAACTAAAAATAGAACTACCTTATGACTTAGCAATTCCACTCCTAGGTATACCCCAAAGACTTGAAAGCAGAGTCTCAAAAAGAGACTTGTACACCAATGTTCACTGCAGCACTATTCACAATAGCCAAAAAGGTGGAAACAACCCAAGTGTCCATCAACTGATGACTGGATAAACAAAATGTGGCACACACATACAATGGAATACTAGTCAGCCAGTAGGAGAAATGGAGTCTTGATATATGGTACAGTATGGATGAAGCTTGAAGACATTATGCTGAGCGAAACAAGCCAATCACAAAAGGACAAATGTTGTATGACCTCGCTTATATAAAAAGACAGGAAAAGGCAACTATTCAGAGACCAAAGTTTATTAGCGGTTACCAGGGGCAGGAGGAAGGGGGAAAGGTAGGGATTAATGGTGATGGAAAAATCACATTGATTAAAGATATTGCACAACAAATTATTGTAATTGCTGTCAATAAGTTGCACATTTGTAAAAAGTACTGGCAAAAGTTGTGTGATAGATATATTTACAACAATTAAAAAAAAAAAAGAGTAGCTGCTGAGGCTGCTTATGTACAACAAAACACCTCATGGGATTTGGTTCCTTGGTTTGAAGGTTTAGGGTCATGGTTTCATGGGATATCCCAGTTAATTGTCCTAATAACGTATTTAGCACTTCTGTTCTACCTCCTAGTTCATTGTGTAGTGCCTAGGGTCTTAAAGGCTTACAAGCGGCCATCCAAGAGACAACAAAAATTCACCTGGAGCAACAGAGGAAGGAAGAGAGTCAGAAACAGGAGGAGGATAGGGAATGTGTGGCTAATTGCCTCCATGAACAACTGCCTCCTTTGCCATGAGACCAGAAGAACTGGATGGTACCCGGCTCCAATTATTGAATATTTTGATCAAAGATTCCATAGAAGAATCCTGATCAATGGACAGAGCTGGAGAAAAATGTAGAACAAAATTCTAACTCACAAAAAAACAAAAACAAAAAAACAGACTTACTGATCTGATGGAGACTGGAGCAACCCTGAGAGTATGGCCCCCAGACACCCTTTTAACTCAGTACTGAAGTCACTCCTGAGGTTCACTCTTCAGCCAAAGATTAGACAGGCCCATAAAACAATAATACATATAGCTCAACCATGTATACAAAACTAAATGGGCACACCAGTCCGGGAGCAAGGACAAGAAGTCAGGAGGGGATAGGAAAGCTGGACGAATGGAAATGGGGAACCCAAAGTCAAGAAGAGGAGAGTGTTGACACATTGCTGACTTAGTTAACTAATGTCACAAAACAATGTGTGTATTGTTTAATGAGAAACTAATTTGCTCTGTAAACCACCTAAAACACAATTAAAAGAAAAGAATCCTCAAATTCTCACGGACTCTAGACTTTCTGGAACCAGGGAGGGTGAATGAACCCCTGAAACTATTGCCCTAAAATAATCTTTAAACCTTAAACCAAAAATATCCCCGAAGTCATCTTAAAACCATAGTTTAGCTTAACTAGTAAAAAGGCCTGCCTTGAGCATTATGCTCTTTTAAGATCTAAAAAACAAAGCCAAACGCATTGCCATCAAGTGATTCCGACTCATAGTGACCCTATAGGACAGGACCCATAGGGTTTCCAAAGAGCGCCTGGTGGATTTGAACTGCTGACCTTTTGGTTAGCAGCCATAGCTCTTAACCACTACACCACCAGGGTTTCCAAGAATATATATATAAGAACTATCTAGATGGGATCAAACTGACAACAGCAACTCCAAAAATTAGATTGGAACCTTAGGGGGGTGGTGAGTTTATCTTATGAAGGAGGAACAACAGAAAAGGAAGGTGAGAATGGTTGCACAACTCGAAGAATGTAATCAATGTCACTAAATTGTACATGTAGACAGAAATTGTTGAATTGGTGTATGTTTTGCTGTGTACATTTTCAACAACCACCACAAAATAAATAAAATAAAAAAATTCAAGGCCCCTGAGAAGGTAAGAGCAAATGGGATCCAACATGGAGATTGGTCCTGGGAGGGGCACCTTCTCCATTTTAACATGAGGGAGGGAGAAGCAACTGACTACAGTTGTAGCTATCTTTTCTCCTTTTATTTCCATGACACTGGTCCTTAATGGTTTTCTTCTTCCTTCTCTGGCTGCTTCGGCTAAGTTTCCTTTTCCAGTTCCTCGTTTTCTATCCAACCTCTATATGTTGGAGTCCTTCAGAGGTCTGGCCTCTTCTCCGCTCACCTTTCATTGTTTCGGGACAATTGCATATGTTCCTGCAGCTTTGTTATTTGCCAAGTCTACATCTGCAGTCTGACACTCTTCTCTGAGCTCTAGGCCCATAGATCCAATGCCTCCCTGAATCTGCATTCCTGTGTCTGATTCACAAGCTCAGTAAGTCAAAACTGAACCTGTCTTCCCCTCTTCCTCCCATACTGACTTCTGGGAAAGGTGGGGGTAGGGGGTTGCTGTCTCAGCAAATGGTATTACCAACTATCCAGTTGCTTGAGGCAGAAATCTAGAGCTGTTCCTCACCCTGCAAATCCAGGTAATTACAAAGTCCTAGTAATTTGAATGGAGCTCTGCTGGTGCAGTGGTTAAGAGTTTGGCTGCTAACCAAAAGGTCAGCAGCAGTTGAAATCCACCAGCTGCTCCTTGGAATCCCTATAGGGCAGTTGCACTCTGTCCTACAGGGTCACTAGGAGTCTGAATTGACTTGGCAGCACACAACTTTTTTTTGGAGGTTTAGCAAGTCCGTTATTTTTTTTTCAATTTCTTTTTCTTGTACTACATCCAAGAAAAAAGTTATATTTCAAAAAAGTCAGATACTATGATCTCATTTTTATAATTTTTAAAATTTTATTGTGCTCTAGGGTGAACGTTTACAGCTAGTTTCTCATTCAAAAATTTATATACATAGTTTTGTGACACAGGCTGCAATCCCCACAATATGACAGCACTCTCCCCCTTTCTACTCCAGATTCCCCATTTCCAGTTTTCCTGCCTCTTCCTTCCTTCTTGGCTTGCAGGAGATGAACAACATTAATTTGAATATCTATGTCTACTTCTACTCACCACTGTCCAAGTCACCCACCACCTCTTTTTCACTTGGTCACTGATCCTCAGACAAGAGACTCCTTCTAGGTTTTGACATCTTCACTCAAAATTGATGACACTGGATTAGATGCCCATTTTAAGCCCTAAAATGTTATAAGTTAAATACGGACCTATACATTGCAACCAGACTTATATAACATTATTAACATTGTAGGACTTGGTATCTCGGGCTCACTACTCCCTAAATTCTGCTTCCACAACATCCAGATACTCCCAGCAACACTTTTTACAGACTAATCTTACAGGCAGTAAAATAACAAGAGGAACTCAAAGACCAAAGACTGTAAGTAATGATAAATTTGATAATATGTAGGAAACAATGAAAAATTTTAAATCTGAACTTATGGTTTTAGGATCACTTCAAAGTTACATTAGAACAGTTATATATCAGTATCTTTTCTAGGTGCTTTGTGTCTGAATAATAAAATTCTGATGTTGAAATAAACCTGATAGCATCAATTACAAGTCAATTACATGGGTGTGGAAGTTAGCACCAACACCTTGCTGTGTTCTATCTCTAAACTTTTTTTTTTTTTTAAACCATCTACCTACTATAATCAATTAACAGCATCAAATCCTTTATCTGAGTTCCCTGGCAGTACAGAAATTGTTTCAGAAGTCATTTTAAAACACGTGAGCAATCTACCCTCCGTGGAAATTCTTGGGATACAGATTAGGTTTAGGTATAGCACATATTTGAGGAATTATTTTTTTAATATTTGAGCTTTTAGCTTATGCAAAACAATCTTTACATTCTCTTCCACTGTTTCTGTATACTACTTTAATATGTTAAACGCTTTGCTCTGGTATATTTCAGAATCCCCTCTGGTGATGCTTACATGTCTAATCAACACATTTAAGAATTCCTGCCCTCTTACTTTGAAAAACATTAGGAGGAAAAGATTTAATCATTCCTCCAGAGACAACTATGTCATTCTAAGGCCTCTCTCAAAGGTGCGATTCTGGAGCTGATGGTCTGGTTATTGGGCCAGAAGTATGTTGCAATATTTCTAAACACTCAGTTAAGAGACTACACACAGAGAGAGAAGAAATAGGTTAGGAACACACCCAAATGAGATCCTTGACCAATGGAGGGCCACATTATTAATGCCTACCATTTGCTTGACTCACCAATCACTACGTAGTCATCTTTCCCCAAAACATGAAATTCTAGTATGTATCTATTTCGGTTTCTGCATAAGCCTTTTCCCAAAAGGAAACAAAGTTCAGTACGCATGTATGGGACCACAGGGCTTTTACAATTCACTCAATCTCCATTTCACCCCACCCCCACCCCCAGAGCTCCCCAAAGTACAATAAATACTCCAACCAATCAGGGAGGGGAGGAAGGGGAGGCAGGACTAGTGATCACAACTCTTGTGGTTGAGAAGGCTACTAAATAGCTAAGTGTATTAATAGAGCTCCACTGTATTTTTGAGATTTAAAAGGCTGATGGTCTAAGGCTAATTGTTAGCCATGACCTTGTTAAATAAGTGAACCCTATGAAGGTGGACCCACTGGCTTCGGTACAATATTAAGACCCCAAGCAAAAAAGCCTTAGGGCCAGGAAAGGCACAATATTAGTTGCAGCCTCTTCAAACCTATCTAAGGTCTGACCTCTTAAGCAAGGCCTATGAAACAAGTCAAATACTAGTTGAAGAGGAATTTATACATGGCGGGAATGTAAGACTACAAATGATTTTCTAAAAAAAAGTAGCATTGCACTAACATGAATTACAAAATATCAACGAATGTTTAGATTACCCCCAAATATGGGGTAATTTTTTTTTCTTCCTTAGCTGGAAATGGCTTTCCATTCATTGATTTATTCTTGACCATTTTCTTTAAGAGCAGTGGGAAAATATGTACAAGACAACATGCTACATGGTCTAACCCACATGGAGCCAATAACCTTAGCTTATTAGTAACAATGATTTTTATAATGCTGTAACAATTATTCTTCATCTTCTTAAAAAGCACCATTATCTGCTCAATATTATATTACAGGTACCTACTAAACACAAATAGATTGATGATGTTTTCCTACCCAATGTGGCAAAAAAATATTCAACTTGCAGCTTTTCAAGTTCAATCTGCTCCATCTAGAATCCCATTCAGACCTGACTGGTAATCATATCTCCTTCTCCCAAGTTTTATTTCTGTAAGCATTTGAATAAAAATTACTCTAAACACCATTAAGCCTTTTATCTAATTTTTCTTATCAGAAACTATGAAGATAATGTAGGACTGAGATGATTATATCTTGAATGTCCCAGGCCAAGTAGGGTTTAGCCCTAGATTTGAAAACATAAGTTGATTTGTATTCCTACTAATAATTTTTTGCCTCTCAACTAGCAGCATCTCAATATGGATTCTAGAGTTACTAAGAGGTAGAGAGCAATTGCTGCATCTCATACTCCATACCACAGAAAAAGAAGCATGATGCTTAATAGGCCTTTTCGGATTTTGAAGGTAACATATTTCATATTTGAGTGGGCTACTTCAACCCAGTTATAGAATCACCCATAAGATTACCAGATTTGAGTGGGGACAAGAGCGAGAGAAGGCTCTGTTGCAAGTTCAGATTATAGTACAAGCTTGTCTACCATGTAGCCTTTATAATCCAGCAGATCCAATGAGTCTCAAAGTGTCATGGCATAAAGGGATACTGTATTGAGCCTCTGTCAAACACCAGTAGGAGAATCACAATGGAGACCTCTAGGACTTTTGGAGCAAATCTGTGCCTTCTTCTGCAGATAACTATTCTGCTTTTGATATACAGCTTCTGGCTTACTAATGTGCCTTGGCTTGCTAGTGAACACCTAACCATGGATATCAGGTGACATGTGGCCTGAACTTCCTATCATGATTTGGGTGTTGTGGGACCCACCTAGTCATAAACTTGGGCATGTACAGCAGGAATTCATCATCAAATGGAAATGGTATACAAGAGACTTAAGCTTGGGTAGGTCTAGAAGGTACAAGTAGGTTACACAAACAGGTGGCTCAGACTCTAACATCAACTCCTATTTTGTTGCCTCCTCTCTCTCAGTCCATGAGGTGTTCCTAACAAGCTGGCCAAGTTTTAAAAAACTCAAGTGGACAGCTGCAGCACTACAGCTCCACTCAAGGGTGTCCCTGAAGTACAGTATGAAAGAAAATCCTCTCTGGACATAACTTCAAGCTCTGGACATGTGGTTGCCCACCATGTCTGAACTGATAGATGGTCAGTACAGATCTACACTAATTCATGAGCAGTTGCTAAGGGTTTGGCTGAATTCTCAGGGACTTAGAAGAAACAAAATGGAAAGGTTGGTGACAAGAAGTCTAGGAAGAGGTACATGGATGGACCTCTCAGAATGGGCAGTCTATATTTTGTCCCATGTGTATGCCCATCAGAGGGCAGCCACAGCAGAGGAGCCTCTTTATTAATGAGGTGGACGAAATAATGTACTCTGTGGGTGTCTGTCAGCCTCATTCCCAGCCACCCCAGAGCTTGCTCAGTGGGCCCCTGAATAATGTGGCCATAGTGGCAGGGATAGAGGTTATGCATGGGTTCAACACTGACTTCCTCTTACCAAGGCTGATATGGCTAACACTACTGCCAAATGCCTAATCTGAGAAGAGCCAAGACCAATACTGAGCACAAAATATGGCACCAATCCCTTGGCAAGGGGTTGAACAACCATCCACTTGGTAGCAGGTTGATTATATTGGAACTTTTCCATCATAGAGGAAGCAGATTCATCTTTATTGGGACTGACATATTCTGGATAGGGATGGCTTTCCCTGCCTTTGCTTCTGCCAGCACCATCTGATCCACAGGCTCACAGAATGCCTTGTCCACCATCATGAGGGCATTCCTCCTAATGCTGATTCTAAGTAAGCAATCAATTTCACAACAAAGAAAGTGCTGTAGTGAGCTCCTGCCCATGATATTAACATACCCCAATATACTGCACGGTCCCTGCCTGAGGCGAGCAGAGCAGGGGGGAACAGGCTGCTGCAGATGGGTACCCAGAACCCCTCCCCCTGCCACGCAGGGTAGATGTGGACCCACAGAGCTAGTGAGAGACAGATCCCTTAAGTCCCGTTCTCCTATCGGGATAACCTTATGGAACCATGGGGGTACGTGCAGTCAGATGTTGCCCAAACGCATGTTAAGCAATGCATACCTGTATATTCATACTGCATGTACCAACACAGAAATTAAGGATTTGTTATAGATACATACACTAACTTGTAAAGATATCCAAGAAGTAGTGAGTGAAAAAAAAGTTGTAAGATGCCGTTAAAAATCAGTATATACCTTCTAAAGGTACCCATGTATGTAAACTGTTGGGGGGAAAACGACTAAAAAAAATTTTAACACGAAACCAATAACATGATTACCTCTGGGGATGCTCAAAGTAGTATACATTATAATGTTCTAAGAAAAAAAAAAAAATCTAAGACAATTTATGTTATTAAATGATTAAAACTTAAGACTTGAAAACAAAAACCCTATCTTGAACTTTTCCATTTGGCAAAGATGGAGTAAAAGGGACTGGATTTACCTTGAAACTAAAAAACTGGAGAAAATATGAAGCAATGGCTTTCAATACATTGAATATCAGTTAGCAAAGGGACGTGATCCCTGAAAGACTAAACTATTGATCCAGTTTACTGTCTTGTGTTTCCAGGCCAAATGCAGGGAGAACCCAGGCAGACTCCAGTGGACTTCCTGAGTTAAGACAGAGATAAAGTTTATGGAGACTGAGGCAGCTAGAGTCCCAGGGGAAGAGTACCAAGAAGAGACAGCCAGAGAGAGACAACTCCAGAGGATGCCCCTCAAGTATTCAGCAATGGACTGATCAGCATATACATATGAGGAAACTCTCCAAGGCTGGGGAAAGGTTTAGAAGAAACAGTACCTAGAGGCCACACAGGCCAAAAATAGTCTGTTCCCCTAAACCCAAACTAGAAAACCACATAATCCAAGGGGTACTGCAGTTCTCAGAAGGGACTTGACTCAATAGTGGAGAACAGTTAACCCTAGCCTAAACAGCCTTAGCTCTGCTCTCACATACCAAAGCTTTAAGGCAAGACCCAAAGGGACCAAACTGTTTTCAAGTTTCAACTATAACCCAGAGCACAGCTAATGAGTATTTATAGAAATACAAAAATATCTGGCACTCAACAAGATAGATTTATGTCTGGCATCCAATAGATTATCAGGTATACCAAAAACAGGAAAATATGACCCAGGAGGAGAAAAATCACCCAGCAGAATCTAACACAGGCATTAGAATTAGCAGATGTGGACATTAAAGTTATTACTCCATGATCCAAAATTTGAGAAAAAAACTGAAAATGTAAAGACATGACCAAAGATACTTCTAAAAATGAAAACTACATGAGATGAAAAACACACTGGATGAAACTAACAATAGATCAGACATATTAGAAAATATTAGCGACATTAAAGACAGTAATAGAAACTATCTGAAACAAAGACTTAAAAAAAAGTGTCAACAAACTCCAAACACAAGAAATGAAGAATAAAACACCACAGGCACATGATAACCAATCTTGCTCAAAACCAGTGATAAAGAGAAAAATCTTAAAAACAGCCAAAAGAAAGACATGTAGAAGGAACAAAGATAAAGATAACAGATTTCTTATAGGACACAATGCAAGTAAGACAGCGCATCAACATCTTTAAGGTACTGAGAGCAAAAAATGCCAACCTAGAATTTTATAATCAGCAAAAATAATCTTTCAAAAACCAGACAGACCCCTGGACACTCTGTTAACCCAGAACTAAAACCATTCCCAAGTCCACTCTTCAAAGATTAGACTTGACTATAAAACAAAGCACTCATGAAGACTGTGCTTCCTAGTTCAATCAGATACACGAGACCAAATGTGCAGCTCCCCATCCAGAGGCAGGATGAGAAGGCAGGGACAGAAGTTGTAGAATGGACACAAGAAACTTGGGGTGGAAAGGGGGAGTGTGCTGTCACTTTGTAGGGATTACAACTAATGTCACATAACAATATGTGTATAAATTTTTGTATGAAAAATTAACTTGAGTTGGAACCTTTCACCTAAAGCACAATAAAAAAAGAAACACAAAACTTGAAAGAATTCATCAATAGTAGACTTACACTAAAAATACTTTTTATTAAATCATTTTAAAAACTTACTTTGAACCCTATTCTTATCAAAATAATTTGTTTCTAGCTACATTTTAGGGAGTCTTCACAAAAAAGTTTTATATGAAACCAAAAATTCATGATTTCTAAGGTCAAATAAAGGAACCCTGGTGGTGCAATGGTTAAGTGTTCTGTTGGTAACCAAAAGGCTAGCAGTTTGCACCCACTTAGCAGCTCCGTGAGAGAAAGACCTGGCAATCTGCTTGTGTAAAGATTACAGCCTAGAAAACCCTACAGGGCAACCCTGCCGCATAGGGTCACTGTAAGTCAGAATGGACTTGAAGGCACCCAACAACAACTAAGATTTAAAGCTTATGGAGGAGTACTCACTATATTTTTCTTCTCAGTCCAAGTCCTATGATTTAATAAAGAATGTAATTTTGCCTATAACATAGGCCAAGAGAACCAGGTTTCACATGCCAGTATGTAGCTGGATACCAGATATTTATGCCAAGTACTCAAAAAAGCAACACAGTTTTACTTTACACATGGTCTGGACTAAAGAGGCAGAAAATCACAAATAAGTTTTCAAATATATAAATATGCGTATATATAAACAAAAAATACATCCTCATTAACTCCTAACTAGAAAAAACAGAGCACAAGTAGGTGGTTTCTATTGTCTTGTGCAAGATAAATTTGTATGTCACTTTCATAAGCATACAACTATCATTTTTAAGCTTCTGTTCCCCACAGATGAATATATACCTCAGTTAATACCTGTTAATGCAGGGGACCAATAAAGAGTGAGTAGACAACCTTTCCCCAGACAGACCAATAAACTAAACCCACAGTGTTAGATTTCATAATCAAAATGCAAAAATACATTTCAGTTAATAAAATAAATCAGATTAGGTCAATAAACATGTAGATTTATTTTAAATCATTTTGGTACATGATACAGATTGGTTTTCAGTTTGGAGTGAACTAAAATAGAATCTTCTAAATACAGCAGTGTCTGCCTGTGCAACAAACATCCATAGGTAAAATAAGGTATTTGACAGAGTACATCTGCAAGAACAAATCAGATGAAAAATCTGAAAAGGTTTCTACATACCTTCTGGATTAAAAAAAAAAACCCAAAAAATTATTAATGGCTCACGATATTAAATTGTTAAAGGAAAGGGGAAAATGGGTCTGAAATGGCTGTATGAGTTGTGCTGCAAGAGCTCTTCTGTAGATCTGCAAAATCTAACTTCATATGATTTTGTTGGAGTGGTGCCCAAAATTCCAGATAAGAGGCTTCAAATCAAGCTACATCTTCATAAAATTTTGCTGTATGTGTTAACACTGATGTATGGTGAAGTATTCCTATCTGAGTAAATGATAATTATACCATTGTAGCTGATTTTTTTGCCACTTTGGAGGGAATGGAAATTCTGTAAATTTTCAAAAGAATCTTGTATCAACTAACAGCCATGGGATCTGGAAAATTTTCTGAGGTACCTGGAATATTACTAAGGGAAACCCAAAAACGTAACCTAAACTAACCTACTTTTTCCCCCAAATCCTTTCAAGCCAGAGATTTTAAACAATTAAGGCACTTGAAAATATTAAGTGTATGTACAAATGTGCAAGTAAAATAAACTTCAGCTGTACCAGCAAGTTAACAAAGAAACAGTAAATCTTCGTTTTAACAACTTTTAATATAACTAGCTAAATGCAAGTTTTGGTTTTTGAAATGGACCAAAGTGATTTACCATTTCCTACCATAAAATATTGAAAACCAAGTGCTAAACTCACCCACTATAGGCTAAAAGAAACTAAAATGAAAAACTGTAACGACCTAGAAAAACCAAAGGCCTACTTTAAACTAATGTAATTCTCTGAACTAATCCAACGAGTCAAAAAGAGAGGACAGTAACCCTTTTAATTTGTTCTAAAATTGAGAAAGAAAAAAAAAAAAAAAAAAAAACCCAAAACTAGCACTTCCTAAGAAAACTACAGAAGTATGTATGTTCACTACACTACAGGAATTGCAACACCACTAAGCATGGGAAGGACAGAAGAAAAAGAGAAAGTTCTTTCTATTCAGCTAGGGCAATCATACAGTAATCTGATCGACCAAAAATCCTTAGATTTTCTGAAATTACACTGGTCACATGTCATCTGAAAAAACTAAAATGATCATCTCATTTAGTAAATGATTCTAAAACATCTTATTTCCTTTTTGACTCATGAAAGAAGTTCCTTTTCAAGTAAGCCTGGTGGAAATCCTTCTGAAGTACAACAGTGTTAGGATACATTTTTGAAGTATAAAGGAAAAATTAAACCAATTTTATCTCTAATTATACTTTAACAGCCATTTAAAAAAAAGTTGGAGGTTTAATATGTGAATGCTTTCAACTTTGTATAACATCGTTTAGCTTAAGTTACTCAGCTCTGAAATAAAGTAGGTGCGTTTTCAAATACCAGCAGTATGGTATCTAAAAGGTTTCCTACTGCTCGCATCAACAGTTACATCGTCAGAGCAACCTTTACTTTCCTTAACGTGAAAGAACAAACCGCAAACGTTTAAGTTACAGTCTACCTTTCGGTCTGTCTTTTAAGGCACTGTTCTTTATTTTCTCAATGATATAAGGTGCTGTACAAGTATGAATAACCTGCTATACATTAATGGTTTATATCTTTTCCATTCATTTCTTTAAATCTGGAATGTAATTCCCTGTGTGGCATCCTATTTCTAATGTAGAAAAAATAACTTACCAAGCACGAAATTTTACTCTAAGGATACAGTTTAGTACTACTGAATTTATAAGTTTATTCCCCTTTTGAAATGATAGCCAAAACTCCACCTGACTGATGCTCATTTGGCACATTCTTCTCAATTCTGGTCACTGAACTACATCCTTAGGGAGGATGAAAATAACGCAGCTTTCCACCCTTAAAATGACTAAATTTAAACTGCTGAGAGAGCCATGAGGTTGTCTGTGCAGGACAATGTTTTCTATCACTTGCAAAAAGTTACATTTGGCATGTCAAGAAAAGAGAAAATAATTCCACAGCAGTAGCTGTTTAAAATAAGACAGCCACAAGGATTCATGCAGAATACTTTAAATATTCCTGTTGAGCAAAAAGATAGAACTGATTTTTCTTCAAGAACCACGCTCGAAAATATCCTATATGCATCCTTTGGAAACTTAAAAATCCTTGAACAGCGTCTTTCACGTGGGACATCTTGAAAGATATTATTTTGGTTTCTGTGAATTACACGAATGAACCGGCAGTCTGTGTCAATTTGATGTGTTTTACAGAGTATGGTAGTTTCGTTCTTTAGATTTGCAGAATTTATAGAGGAAGAAAATTACAGCCTGTACACCCAAGACAAGGACGATTCCTCCAATGAAACTGGCTGCGTCAAAGGTAGACTTTCGCCCAGGTCGTGATGTTGGAGTCAAAGTGGTATTTGGCGTAACTGTTAGATAAGACAGAACAAATAACAATCCTGAATAAGTCTCCTGATTCTCTAGCATCACAGTTTCAAGACTCACCTAAGTTTCTATTTTGCCTTACAATAAAGTTTATAAAGTATTTCTCCAAAGTCCACTCTTAACAGCTAAAATGTATCCTTAAGTATGGAAGACAACCACTTATTAACTTCATTCTTCATCTTGTCCAAGAATTTTAAAATGGTCAATGCTGCTATACTATTTTAAATACGAAAATGACAGAAAAGATTCTCCTGGTATATAAATTACATCCTAAGACTATGTCAGCCATGTTTAGATTTTACAGTAATTTCTTCAGGTGATATATTTTTAACTAATTGCTGCTTCTTAATTCATTAATTTATTATTAATATCACATAGCCTAAATGAGCATACACACACACAAAAAAAAAAACCACAGCTGTCGTTGAGGTGATTCCAACTCACGGCTACCCCATGTGTCAGAGAACTGTGCTCCATAAGGTTTTCAAAGCTATGACGTTTCAGAAGCAGATTGCTAGGCCTTTCTTCAGAGGCACCTCTGATGGATTTGAACCAGCAACCTTTCAGTTAATAGCCGAGCACTTAACTGTTTGCACCACCCAGAGGGTGCGAATGGGCGCATAAAGGCATATTAATTATTAAAACATTAGCTATTAATAGTATCAAAATTAGGAACTCTGGTGGCACACCGGTTAAACGCTCAGCTGCTACCCAAAAGGTCTTCCGTTTGCACCCACCAGCTGCTCTATAGGAGAAAAGACTGGCGATCTGTTCCTGTAAAGATTATAGCCCAGGAAACTCTATGGGGCAGTAGTAATCTGTCATAGGGTTGCTACGACAGTATCAAAATATTCCTTAATAGAAAAAGACTAAATATTAATATTTGTGTAGAACATTCATATGGTTTTTGAGTTTTACTAAATACCCAAAAAACCAAAAACCAAACTCGTTGCCGTCAAGTTGATTCCAACTCATAGCAACCCTACAGGACAGAGTAGAACTATCCCGTTGAGTTTCCAACGAGTGGCTGGTGGAGTCAAACTGCTGAACTTTTGGTTAGCAGCTGTAGCACTTAACCACTACGCAGCCAGGGTTTCCATAAGGTAAATAGGTAAATAAAAATTCTGTCACAATTTTCAAGTTAACAAAAATAATCTAAGTACCTGCAATTTAAAACTTCAACAAGCAAAAGAATTTGTCATATAAGGCATCTTAAAGAGTACACTGTCAAAACATTTTACATTATGAGAAATTATTACCAAGCAATAAGGAAAAAGAGCGTGGTAATTTGAATTCCTTTTGAGGGCGTAAAACATCTCAAAAGGAAACAAAAAAATTAGATTGAGAGCATTTTAGTAAAAAAGCAATTTCATATTTAAAAAGATTTTTATTTTTTCTTCAAGAGAATATCAAATAAACACTGGCTCTGATGGCTGTAAGTTGGCCAGCTTTAAAACTAATTCCAACTGTTTTGCATTCCCTCCTGTAACGAACACAGTGGCTTCACTGAAGTTGAAAGAACGAAGCCAAAAGAATCACAAAGAGCAGGTAAAGACTCATCAGCATCAAGACATCAGTATATTTTAAACATGGATGGGGAAAGGGTTCCTAACCTATGTACCCTGGAAGTTCTGCAGCATAATCTAAAGAGGATTCAGCTGACAATAGCGCAAACCAAAGTTAATTTTCACATGCATTTTCAAGAGTTATAAAGGAACATAAGAAATATAGGAAACACGGTGAGGTGCACCTCTGGTAATGAGCTTGGTTTTTTAGACTGTTCTCAGAAAAAAAGGATGGATATTTTATCTTCACTCAAGTCACCATGGTCTAACAGAGCACACACCTGTCTATAATGTTAATCAGCATTTACCTTTTTAAGTTATAACAAATTAGTTTCATCTACAAGTTCTACAGAAAGAATTCTGAATAAATATGATTACTTAATTCTAATGGGTCATGCCAAATGTGAGTACACATTAAAACACCAGAAGAGGACTCTCAGCAAACCTATCGTTACTGTTCTAACAGCCTACTATCTTGGTCCCCTAAACCTAAGATATGAATTTTACGCCACAGACATTCACGAATAAAACTGGAAAATGCCGTTAGAAATAATAAAAGGCAACACTGTTAGTTTAAGAAACCTCAATTACCTGATGTAGGAACTGTGGTGGAAGCTGTAGTAGAGGAAGGCACAGTTGTGGTTTTAGCTGAAATGCAAACAAAATGTATTAAAAACCTTAACTTTCTAACTTCCTAAGTACCTAGCATCTATCTTTCAAAAATAATACTACCAGCTTCAACATGATTTCAGTTTTTTAGAGAATGAAGGTCAAATTTCAGTTAATGGTTCACTAACATAGCTACATGTCCAACAATACTAGTATTTAAATGTATTTTAAAGCATTAAAAAAAAAAAAACCAAACTCACTGCCGTCGAGTCAATTCCAACTCATAGCAACCCTATGGGACAGAGTAGAACTGCCCCCACAGTTTCCAAGGTGCACCTGGTGGATTCGAACTGCCAACCTCTTGGTTAGCAGTGGTAGCACTTAACCACTACGCCACCAGGGTTTCCTTTTAAAGCAGTCACAAAATTGTGTCTGTTAAGATCTATATATACATATATGTGTAAAATCTATGTATACATCCGGATACAGTTTACAAAAACATACAGAGAAGTCCAAGAATTAGTATTTCAGAGAGGGAACTACAGCCTCTTTATAGATAAATTTTGTTTCTAAGAGAAAAAAAAGAAAAAGAAACAATTTAAAAAGTCTTACTAAGAAATGAATGCAACGCAGTATTTCTTCTATGAGTATCAAGGTTTATCTCATCTTTGAGAATTACAGGCGATTTTAATTTTCTTTATGCTTCTGTACTTTCCAAGATTTTCACAAGCCCCATAAAAAGTAAAGTTTGTAGAACGAATGTACAAAACTAAAGTAAATCTGCTCAGATTCACTGAATGTAAATGCTGGGTCATTGTCACAAACCAGACATATTGTGGTCCAAAACTCAAATAAGTCTTTACTAACTCTTACAGTTCTAACAACCTTTAAGTAATTACTAAGACATTATCCATCAAGAGGGTGCAATTCTGAGGAGGAGGAGGAGAAGAGCCAATCATCCTGGATTACCTGTAGAACTGGTTGGCGATGGAGTGGCAGTGGGCACTATTAAAAAAAAACAAAAAAAAGACCAGTATAAATTTTAATTGTTTAAAATACCACAATCTATAGCACTATTTTCCAACCTGCAGACATCTGAGTACGACTTTCAACATTTTTACAATATTTAAGTACTACCTATGGAAGAGACTTGACAGTTACCCCACCTGATATCATTCTCCCCTTCTTTAGAAATACAAGGGCCAATCTTTAGTGATACCCCTCTTCCCCCAGGAAGCTATTTCTTAGCCTACCTTGCTATGTGCCACATAGAGGTGATCATATAGCACCTATACATTTCACATGCCTGGATAACCTTGTTCTGGCCTTGCTTGGTTATGGAGTCTGGGAAGTCTAGGAAACATCCTTAAAGTGGATACAGACCTCTCTTCCTCTTCTTCTCCCACTGGCAGAAAAATCAAGTGATGGCTGCACTCTAGTCCACAATTCCTTCACATGAAAGTGAAGTAAATCTGCCTATTGTTTAAGCCATCACATAATTTGGAATTTTAGGTCCCTCACAACTGAAACTAAAAGAAGCCCTGATGGCTTGCAATTGTTAAGCTCTGGGCTGTTAACCAAAACGTCTGCCGTTCGAACCCACTAGCTGTTCTCACTAGTGTTGAGAAAAGATCTGGCAATCTGCCCAAAACCCTATGGGGCAGTTCTACTCTGTCCTATAGGGCTGCTTTGAGTCAGAACTGACTCGACAGCACACAACAATGGAAACTAATAGATACATTATCATGTAAGTAACACTAGTTACTCAATTTTTCCTTAAATCGATGTGTTTAAATTTTTTACTTAATCTTCTCTCTAAGCAATATCATGATCATAGGTCTATTTTAGTGGTTAGTTTTTTCTAAAACAACTACTAAAAATGCTAACCATGTTAAAACAAACAACTAAAATGTTCATTCATGTACCACCTAATATTACGCACACTACATAGGGTAAAACTGATCTAAAACTACTGTAAATCCTAAGTTACAGTGTTCAAGTTGGTGTGGAGGGGTGGGGAAACTCCCACCAAAATTAGCTACACGTACTACAGACACACTCCAGAAAGATCTTCTGCTCTATTCAAGTACTATCCATGCACCAAATTAGCAGTTTGACTTTCCTATCAATTTATAATCTCATTAGAAAAATCATTTGTTTCATCTAGAAATTTTAACTATTTCCTGGACAAGAAGTAAAGGTTAAAGAGTAACTTACTTCCTCAAATTAAACAACAGGAAATGGATAAACACAGAGAAGGTTCATTTAACCACAGCACGAACTATGCTAGAGACTAGCTATGACAATCACCAGCACCAGCCTCCATAATCAAGCAAGGCCAGAATGAGGTTATCCAGGCCTGTAAAATGCAAACAGAGGGAATATAAACTACAGTAAATTCCTGGAAAACCTATTTAAAAAAAAAAAAAAAGTAGGGGAGGAGGCATTTGCACTTACAGCATTCCACAGTATGGCTAAACCATTCAAATCATGCTTCAAAACATTATCCTTTTATCAATCAAAAGGAAGAGCTCTATTCTGCTATACATATCCAAATTTCTAACAGGAACTAGAATTATGGAAATACTTCAAATAAAACGTTGAAATAAGGCATCCTGAAGCAAGAATCTTCCTCACCTCTCTGTAGCCACCTTCCCCAGCAGCAAATGTGAAAACTTACCAGAACAGAGTTCTGTGTTGTTCACTGCATGGCAATCACTAGCTGTTGAATTATGTGAACAGTGGCTCTTTTTTGCTATTAAAAAAAAGTAGACAAACAGCACCAATCACTTATATTATCTGTGATTTTACTACTAGGCTCTAGAATAGCTTCTAAAAAAATTATACCCAAGCATAAACAATTTAGAAGACCAACAAATACTGTTATTCTCCTTTTCTCATTGCCTAAGTGATATTAGAAGAGAGCTCCCCAAATTTTATCCTTTATCCACATAAATATACTGAACAAATAAATTTGAAACCCATCTCAAAACTGTGATGTGGCTACTATGTAGTCCAGGAAAGCTGCCAGAACCCATAGGAGGGGACTGCGTTAGTAAGGCGAAGCAGTCAGGATGTAGGAAAGGCTTAACAAGCAGGGAAGGTTCTGACAGGACAGCAGCAGTAAGACCTCTGTTCCAGATGTCACTGCTTTAGTCTTCTACACTTTCTAAAATAGCTTTCCTGGGTAAATAGACTTAGAGCAAGAGTAAGAGGAAAGCCTTCCTCAACCTCCAGAATCTGCCAGCTCCTATATACTGCCACACATGTGGGTGGGGGGTGCAGGGGCTTAAATTCTATTTTATGGCCTAAAACAAATGTGACTCTTACACAACAAAAAAGTTAATTTAACCAAAAATTGAGCTAATACCTTAATTCTGAAAGAGCTTTTTGAACTTTATAATGTAGTTATACAATTTCAAGAACCGAAATTCTTCGCTCAAGAATAATAAAACTTAACATGTGGTTTTGGACTTTTTCTTTAGTAAGAAAAAAAACTGAATATATTGCTTTGCTGATAAAAAAATGCAACCATCTTACATTAAATCAAGAAAACAGATACTAAACATACTGTACCGTCAAGGTTCTAACAAAAATCTTATGGGCATTTCAACATATTTCATCTAGCTCTTAATCCCTCAATTACATGTACGTATAGGTAACTTATACTTTAAAACTTAACATAAGCACAAATAAAGAGTCAACTCTCTCCTCACTTTCTTCTTCCCCAATTATCTAAGCATCCAACAAAGTTTCATGAAGTCTCTTCTAATTTTATAGATGACCCTGCAGGACATTTATAGTTCAATGTCTCAAACAACCCAGAGGGTTTGTCTGGGTCTTCCTTAAGATCCCCAGAGGAAAATTCCACAACTTTCTTTCATAGTTAATTCCAGTGTACTGGTACTCTTCATCCTTCCAAAGATCTAAAATATCTTCCTTTAAAACCAACTGAGCCTTAATTATCAAATCTAAGGAATTAAAAAAGGGGGGAAGGGAGGCAGGAAGACATTTTACAAGATAAGGGGTGTCGGTGTTAACCAACTGTTAAATTAAAAGAAAGTATTTGATTTGCAAAGTAAACAGTGCAAATTAAAACAAACCCAAAGCCTCTTACCTTCTTTACATTCTATCCAAAAGCAGGAAGTATTAGCACAGGATACACAGTCATGGTGGCTTTCACAGGTTTCTGGGAGGGAAAAATGTATGAAATCAGCAAACTAACTGGTATCTCATTTCGAGTTTGTTCTACTTAATTTTTTTACACGTAGTATTATATACAAGAATCACTAATTCAGAAAAATAGTAAAATTTTATAAACACTAGCTTACTAAGAAATTCCAATCATCATAAACTAGAAATAAATGAACTGAACAAAAAACAAAACACCATCAAGCTAATGGATATCTATCAAAACAAGCCTTTTTCACAGGGCAGCTATCTGAAACATATCCAGACAGTGTTTCTTGAGGCATTTTAAAGCATCCTTACTTAAAAGAAAAAAGAAAAAAAAACTGGGGAAAAGGCATTTTCCCCTATTTTACAAGACCAACACTAAAACAAAGAAAACCCAAACTCCATTGTGGCGAGTGGATTCCGACTCACAGCGACCCTATATGACAGAGTAGAACTGCCCCATAGGTTTTTCAAGGAGGAGCTGGTGGATTCCCATCGCTGACCTTTTGGTTAGCAGCTGATCGATTAACCAGACCAACACTATACATACAGAAACCACTGCTCTACAACATCAGATGAGACACTGAAATTTTTAATACTAAAAAGGTAACAGGTTGAATCCAAGCTCTGATGATGCCCATTATGAAAAGAGTTAACGTTCTAGACGCTTTCAATTCATAAAAGCTTCACTCTTCACAGGCTCCTCCTCTACAACTGGAGAATAAGAGACAATATCTGGAGGGGGCCACATCCACGTAGAACATATAACTTAAGTTAGCAAGATCCTTACCAATAGTAGGTTAAGCCAAACGGTCCAGAAATAAGGCCTAATTAGATTTCAAAGTCTGAACAAATTATTGGAATCCAGAAATGGGCTCTGTCTCTATCTTCCTAGAATCTAGATGCTCTGGACAAATATTCCCATTTGCTTTCCCCCTGCTTAAAAAACTTCTGAGGCACTGCCTTTGAATTTTTTATTATTAGCATTTATTAGAGGCTGGGACACGTATGATACCTTTGAGGGTATCACAAAAGTAGAAATAAGACATAGTTCTTCACATGTTTTCATGCAGATGACAAATGCTAGCTTTTTAAAATCTTTTGTGCCCGATGATGAATGTCTGAGTAACGTAATGAGTGTGATTTACAACAAACTACCTTTCAGATTACAGTTCATCCAACTACAATTTTCAAAAACATAAAACATCTCTTTTACATGCATTTCAAATACACAAAGGCAATTAACTTGATACTTCAACTTTCTCTTAAAAAATACACACTACAATTTTGGGAGGAAACCGCCAAATAAACAGAAGACAAAAAATATTCGGCTCTATCATCTTAAAAAGTGTTAAAATTCCCAGTATCGTACTGCAATTTACTTTCCTCAGTTTTAAGTTTTACCATTACATCTGCCTAAATCTAATAAATGATATTAAATTATATATTAAGTATATATCTTATTACATTAACATTTAAAAAATACCAGAACTAGGTAAGACACTGTGGAACAGCATGACCAGCATGAAAATAAGGTGAAATCCTCACACTTGAGCAATTCTTCGGTCAAAAAGCCAAGTTACTCCTCACCCAGTATTACTAACTAGAACAGTCACATTAGATTGCAAATTTAAACGTCTAACGTTTCTTCATTTTACTACCTCAAATGTCTCCTCCCCCCCTTTTTTTGGTTTCAAGACATAGATCAATTTTTTGTAATTATCTGTATGCCTTAACCAATCCGTAATCGACTGAAGAACTTTACATGGCGTGTTTTACGAAATCGACAGCCTTAGGTGCAAACCCCAGCTCCATCACCTACTAAACAAACGTTCCTAAGAGAGTTGCTTTACCTCCGATTTCATCTACCTCCTAGGTTTCACCACTTTTCTTCCTTTGCATGTAACATGGAGCCCAAAGTTTCCATTCATTAAACACTCAAATCTCAGATATATCTCATACCAATCCGCTAAATCAATATAATTAATCTCAAACACGACTTATTTTTTCAGACCCAAGCCTGAGTTGAGACACGAGCGAATACTACCGTCCTTCAGTTTTTCTTTCCCTCTTTTCGCCAACTTCCGGAGAAGCCGCCCTCGGGAGAGAAAACCAGAGTGGATAAACGACTAATGCCAAGGAAAAGGAGTTAGATCTCGCCTCCAACTTTCGAGGCGCGGTGCCGCCAACGCGGAAAGCAGCCACGTCCCTTCTTCCGATATTAAGGTGGGCCTGGGATTACGATGCACTTTGAAAAAGCACCTCGGAGTGAAACACTTTGAGGGTCGGAAACAGCACAGCGGCCACCGGCGCTCTCCCGCCCCCTTCCCACCCTGGTGCTCCGTACTAACCCCGGCCACCCGGCGACCGGCCCCATTCTGGCCTCGGGGCGGGCCGCCATGTTGCCAGAGTCGCCGCCGCGCCCAGAGCGCGGCCCGTCTTGGCCCCGGCTCCGCGCGCACCAAGGGAACAGAGGGCCGCTGGGCAAGCGCCGCAAGCCCGTTGGGCCGGGGCCCACCTGGTGTTGCAGTGGTGTTCGGCGCGGGAGTCGTCGAGTTCGTTGGGGTTATCTTGGTGGGCTCTGAAGTCACGTTATAGGGCAGGGTAGTGTTCGGACTCGCCGACAGCACACAGCGCGCAGCCAGGCAGGTGGCGACGCAAAGAAGCGGGAAGGAGAGCCCCGACATCGCGTCCTCAGCAGTGGAGCTCCGACAACAGCTGCGGCACACAACAGTCTGTCAGTCCTTCCGTCCCCTACGGCGCAGCCTCGAGGACTTCGCTCCCCCCGCGGGCGTACGCTAGGGTCACGTGAGGAGCCCCGAGCCCCGGCGTGCGGGAGGCAGGCGGAGCGGAGGCGGGCCGCGGGAGCTACCAATGGGAACAATGCGGGAGGGGGGATAGGGGCACCGAGAGGAAGTCGAGGGAGGTTGTCGTTCAATGAGCCTATATACAGCGACAAAACTGGCCAAACACTGGAAATAGTTTTCTGTACCCTACAATTACACTGGACACAGCTAGGCTTTTCTCATGCTTGCAATACGGAAGGTCTCCACCCTGGCTTCGATGGAACAATCTACGTGACGTGGCATACGGCGTCCACCCGAGCGCCCAGCGAGGTCGTAATCCCGCAGTCCCACGTGACCTCTGAGGCCGCCCTCCCCCCCCCCGCCCCGCCCTTTCGCCGGCCCAAGTCCCACAGGGCGGGAGTTGTTTCTCTACGTCGTACGTACGACCTGGGTAAAAATGGAGTTCATGCTGTGTTGCTGCGTCCCCAAAGTGCTTACATACATCCCCAGTAGGACCTGCGCTTTTTTCCCTTGAAAATCGGTTTTGCTGAAAGTAACCTTGTGATGGGACTACCCGGAGAAATGGAGAGACCACTTGGATAAAGAGTTTCTGCTTGGCAGCCCACTTAGTATCAGCGCTGAGGCCCCGAAGAAAGCGGTCTCCTGTCAACTGGCCAGAGCTGCTGTACCGCCTGTCTCTGTCACACTTTCCCAACCTGACTTTTCCAACTTTCTTGCTGATATTTCAGGCAGCCGTCTGAGTTGGGAGGTCATGTAATCCATTCCCATCTCCATTTTAGAGGTGAGGAAATGGAGACTCCGTGAACTATCCTAGACCAGGGCTTCGCACTGGTTCGTCCCGGTTAGAACCCGTGGGTTGTGTTTATTGTTATCACAGAGTGGGATTTCTCAACCTTGGCATTACTGACACTTTGGGCCGGGTAATTATTTGTTTAAAGGAGCCCTGGTGGTGCAATGGTTAAGTGCTCGGCTGCTAAACAAAAGGTTGGTGGTTCAGACCCACCCAGTGAGTGACTCCATCCGTGGGACGAAGAAGACCTGGCACTCTGCACCCGTAAAGATTACAGCCTAGAAAATCCTATGCGGCACTTCTTTGTCACATGGGGTCACCATGAGTTAGAATGGATTCAGTGGCACCTAACAACAATTCTTTGTTGGCGGAGCCAGGGCTGTCTTGTCCATTGTAGAATATTTAGCAGCTTCCCTGGCCTCTAAGCACTAGATGCCAGTAGCACTCTACCCCCTAGTTTAACAACCAAAAATATTTCCAGATATTGCCAAATGTCCCCTGGGGGTAAAATCGTGCTGTTGAGAACCACTCTGCAAGGTCAGACATCACTCAGGCTATTTCCTCCTACAGAATGTTTGCAGTTAGGTTATACTGCCTCAGCTCTGATTGGTTGTTAGACCCACCTTCCTTTTCTTGAAAATAAGACAGTGCTTCCAATCATGTAAGTGAATCTGTTGGCATATGAGTGCTCTCCAACTTTTTAAACAAAAAATTAAAAAACTATTGTGACCTGTCAATACTTTCTCCCAAATAAACAGACCAGTACTCCAAACAGGAGCCTGCCTTCTAGCTGTTTTGTTGTATGCCATGGAGTCAATTTTCAACTCATAGGAACCCCATGTGACAAAGTAGAACTGTTCCACAGGTTCTTCTAGGCTGTAATCTTAATGGAAACCGATCACCAGGTCTCTCTCCTGCAAAGCCACTGGGTAGATTCAAACTGCCCGCCTTTCAGTTAGCAGCCACGTGCTTAACCACTGTACCACCAGGGCTCCTTCCTTCTCGCTTCAGTGTAGGTAATATGTAGTGGCCCCTTAGAACCAGAAGTTTGGCTCCACTACTTGATAGCAGTTAGACCAGTAAATATGACTATTATTCAAATTTATGCACCAACCACTAACGCTGAAGATGAAGAAATTGAAGATTTTTACCAATTTCTGCCATCTGAAATTGATCAAACATGCAATCAAGATGCATTGATAATTACTGGTGATTGAAATGCAAAAGTTGGAAACAAAGAAGGATAGGTATTTGAAAAACATGGCCTTGGTGATAGAAACAAGGCCAGAGATTGCATGATAGAATTTTGCAAGATCAGAAACTTATTCACTGCAAATACCTATTTTCAGCAACATAAACAGCAACTATACACGTGATTTATGTTGTCCGAAACAGGTATTTGCAGTGAATAAGTCAGTGGTTTCGCAAAATTCTATCATGCGATCTCCGACCTCATTTCTATCACCAAAGCCATATTTTCCAACTAATGGTCCTACTTTTTTTTTCCAACTTTCACATTCGTCATCAAAAACAACATTTCAAGATCCATCCTGATGTATAATGCTGTCAGTAATAGCATAACATCCATACGCCTACAAGGAAGACCAATTCATACAACTATTGTTTAAATTTACAAACCAACCACTAAGGCCAAAGATGAAGAAATTGAAGATTTTTACCAAAGTCTGCAGTCTGAAATTGATCAAACATGCAATCAAGATGCATTCATAATTACTGGTAGTTGGAATGGGAAAGTCGGAACCAAAGAAGAAGGATCTGTAGTTGGAAAATATGGCCATGGTGATAGAAACAAAGCCAGAGATCGAATGATAGGATTTTGCAAGAGCAGGTTGTGGGATGACATCAAGGACATCATACATTAAGAAAGCAAAAGGTCATTAAAAAGAGAGGAAAGAAAGAAAAGGCCAAAATGGATGTCAGAAGAGATGCTGAAACTTGCTCTCGAATGTATAGCAGCAAAAGCAAATGGAAGAAATGATGAAGTAAAAGAGCTGAACAGATTTCAAAGGGCAGCTCGAGAAGACAAAGTATTACAATGACATGTGCAAAGACCTGGAGTTAGAAAACCAAAAGGGAAGAACACGCTCGGCATTTCTCAGGCTGAAAGAATGGAGGAAAAATTTCAAGCCTCGAGTTGCAATACTGAAGGATTCTATGGGCAAAATATGGAACAACGCAGATGGTGTCAAAAGAAGATAGAAGGAATACACAGTCACTGTACTGAAAATAATTGGTCAACTTTCAGCTATTTCGGGAGGTAGCATATGATCAAGAGCCAGTGGTATTGAAGGAAGAAGTCCAAGCTGCACTAAAGGAATTGGTGAAAAACAAGACTCCAGGAATCAACAGACTACCAACTGAGATGTTTGAACAAATGGATGCGGGGCTGGAGATGCTCACTCGTCTATACCAAGAAATTTGGAAGACAGCTACCTGGCCAACCTACTGGAAGAGATCCATATTTGTGCCCATTAAGAAGAAAGGTGATCCAACGGAATGCAGAAATTATCATTATCATTAATATCACAGTGAAGTAAAATTATGCTAAAGATAATTCAAAAGCAGTTGCAGCAGTACATCAGCAGGGAACTGCCAGAATTTCAAGCTGGATTCAGAAAACGTGTAACAAGGGTTATCATTGCTGATGTTAGATGGATCTTGGCTGAAAGCAGAGAATAACAGAAAGATGTTTACCTGTGTTTTATTGGCTATGCAAAGGCATTCCACTGTGTGGATCATAACAAATTATGGATAACATTGTGAAGAATGGGAATTCCAGAACACTAAATTGTGTTCATGAGAAGTCTGCACGTAGACCAAGAGGCAGTCCTTTGAACAGAACAAGGGGATACCGTGTGGGTTAAAATCAGGAAAGGTGTGCATCAGCGTTGTATTTTTTCACCATACTTATTCAGTCTATATGCTGAGCAAATAATCCAAGAAGCTGGACTATAGGAAGAAGGACATGGCGTCAGGATTGGAGGAAGACTCATTAACAACCTGTGATATGCAGATGACACAATCTTACTTTCGGAAAGGAAAGAGGACTTGAAGCACTTACTGATGATGATCAAAGACCACAACCTTCAGTATGGATTACACGTCAACATAAAACAAAAATCCTGAGAAATGGGCCAATAAGCAACATGATAAACAGAGAAAAGATTGAAATTGTCAAGGATTTCATTTTACTTGGATCCACAATTAATGCTCACGGAAGTAGCAGTCAAGAAATCAGACATTGTATTGCGTTGGGCAAATCTGCTGCAAAATACCTTTTTAAAGTGTTAAAAGACATCACTTTGAGGACTAGGGTACACCTGACCCAAGCCATGGTATTTTCATTCACCTCATATGCATGCGAAACCTGGACAATGAATAAGGAAGACCAAAGAAGAATCGATGCCTTTGAATTATAGTGTTGGCGAAGAATACTGAATATACCGTGGATTGCCATAAGAACAAACATCTGTCTTGGAAGAAGTACAGCTGGAATGCTCCTTAGAAGCGAGAATGGCGAGACTTTGTCTCATACTTTGGACATGTTATCAGGAGGGACCAGTCCCTGGAGAAGACCATCATGCTTGGTAAAGTAGAAGGTCAGAGAAAAAGAGGAAGACCCTCAACGAGATGGACTGACACAGTGGCTGCAGCGATGGTCTCAAGCATAGCAACGATTGTGAGGATGGCACAGGGCTGGGCATTGTTTGATTCTGTTGCACATAGGATTGTTATGAGTCAGAACCAACTCGACAGCACTTGACAACAACTTGATAGCAAGGAGCAGAAACCCTCAAACTAGCCCGTGTTAAAGGGATCGGTTCTTTGAACCAGTTCATTCCCGTTCGACTCTCTGCTGAGAATTTGCATTTCCATCCCAGATATACTGAATCAGAATATACATTTTAACAAGATCCTGGGGGAACAAATCAGTTTGAAGCCCTGGAGGATTCACTGTAAGAATATGGCAGTAAATCTTGTAGACTTTCAAGGGTGGGAAACCAAGTAGTAGGCCAAGGGAGACTTGAATGGTAGGAATCTCTGGCATGTGGACCTGGTTTGGTAGGGCACTGTTTCAAATCCCAACGCCACATGACCTTGCCAGCTCCAGTCCCTGCATCTAAACATCTCCCTTGCCCAGTATTCC